ACAACAGTATTTGGTGGTTATGCAAGAGGAGATGGTGGCCAGGAATGGATAGCCAGGAATCCCTGTAATACATTACATTATATATGGGCAGCTGAGTTGCAGTAAAAGACGATAGCACCTTTTATATCATATATACATCTAATATAAATAAAGTGAAAGTCTTGTGTTGATGGAAATTGTTTATATCAGTCCTAAACCTTGAAAGACCGAAGAAGCAGTCTGAAATTTTGGACCACGTGTGGCTCTAGTAATGTGGCCCCACAAGTTCATAAACTTTTAACATTATTAAGAATTTACTATATATGGCATGCCTATTTAATATTTAATAAAAAAATGGATTGGGTCTTTAAATCTCATATTTTAAGAATCTCTTTACTTAGGACTTGGAGAAAATATTATAAAAGTGATTTTAAAGTTCCATTATGGGCCATACCTTGGCATGCGATAGAAGGAATAAAAAGAGGTGTAAAAATGGATATGGTGTCTTATAGTCAGCTACTTAGATGGGATGGTCAAAACTGGCAGTTAAGATTACGGGAAGATTTAGCGCAAGAAAATATTATTTATTCTTGGTTCCAATATAGGCAACTAGTAGATAAATGGAAGGTGGATTGTAAATTGGGTTTTCTTAGAGAAGATGGAAATCTTATTAAGCAAGTCAAGGATCAAAGACAAACCCACATCAAGAGAATCTACGGGGTATTAGTTGAAATGGACTTAGAAACGGAATTAATTAAAGACTGCATGATTAGATGGGCGCAGAATTTTGGTGTCCCAGTCTCATTGGATATCTGGGAAACCATTTGGGTGAGAAATGTCAAATTTACACAAGCACAGAACCTTAGGGAGAATTTTTATAAAATGTTTTATAGATGGCACCTTGATCCACAAAAAATGTCTCTTATGTACCCTGATGTACAACCTAAATGTTGGAGATGTGGTTATACGGATGCTTCCTATTATCATATTTGGTGGTCATGCAGAGAGATAAAAGCATTTTGGATCAAAATATGGTGGAATATCCAGAGAATTTTTAGAAGGAGGGTAAAATTTACTCCGCAATTATTTTTGTTGGGCATTGTTACAGATTGTGATACAAAGGAGGTTGTATTGATGTTAAATTTGATTACAGCCACGAGGCTGTTAGTTGGACAATACTGGAAGAAGGAATCTTTGCCTACACTGCAGGAATGGTTTCTTAAAGTGTCCTATTTGGCGGAAATGGCAAAGATTTCGGCTTTCTTAAAGCAACAAACGCAAGAGAAGTTTCTTGCCGTTTGGGACAAATGGATAAAATTTATACAATTTAGACTGGGTATAAAAAATATCACATAGTTTTTTCATAAGTTTTATTTTTATATATAGAGAATGTTATATATAGATATTTTTTATATATATATAAATATAAATTTTTTAATTTAATTTTTATCTTTATTTGTTAATTTTTAACTAAGCCTATATTCTGCTCTGGGAAGCTCAGGGGGGGGAAGGGAGGGTGTTTGTGAGGGGTGGGGGATGGGGTTTTTTTTTTATATGTAATGTTTAGTTTTTTATTTTTTTTTGTATATGTTGTTTTTTGTTTTGTATTGTTTTTGCTTTTTTGTAAAATTTATAAAACTTTCAATAAAAAAAAAAAGAATTTACTATATATACATTAACTATATTATATATTTTATAGGTGGCCCAAGAAAATTTCTCTTCAATCAGTGCAGACCAGGCAAGCCAATACATTGGACGCCCTTGGGCTGGACTAAATGACAGCACTGAGCCACTGATTATAGCAGCAAAAGAACAGGCACTAAACACCAGATCCATAGGACCAAGAGTTTATCACAATAGACAGAACCCAAGGTGTTCACTATGTAGAGAGGCCTTATAGATAGTCCAACTCATAGTGGCAGTGTGTAAGAGGTTGGTAGGAAAAATACATACTGAGCAGCACAACTAAGTAGCGGCATTGTGTACAGAAACATCTGCACAGTGCATGGGCTAGATCCTCGCAAATCCAGATGGGAGACTCCACAAAAGGTTGAGAAGAATAACAGGCTAAGATCCTTCCAGACTTCTAGATACTGACAGGCAGGCAGATATTGCCCAATCAACCAGACATCATGATATTAGACAAAGAGCAGCAGTGGTGATAGATGTAGTGGTGCCAAGCAACAGCACCATCAGGAAAAAGGATTATGAGAAGCTGGGAAGGTACCAGGGCCTGAAAGAGGAACTAGAGAGTTTATGGAAAGTAAAGACCAAAGTTGTCCCAGTGATGGTAGGAGCACTTAGGGCTGTGATTCTTAAGTTGGAACATATCCTAGAAATGAATTTTCTGTCTAGAAGAGTGCAGTGCTAGGAATAGCTAAGATACTATGTAATACCCTCAAACTCCCAGATAGAGTGTATCATATTTTGTAAAGTTCATTCTCAAACTATTTATAATAAGAACCTTTAATCCATCTGATCCAGGGACTTTTTCTGATTAAATCTTTTTATTGCTTCAGAAACTTCCCTTATTATTTATAGTCCATTAATAATCTGTTTCTGTCCCTCTGTAATCCTCTGTAAGTTTTGTTCTTTAGGTATCCAATCACTTGCTTTATACAGGTTAGAATAATATTGGTGAAAAGCTTTTTGCATGATCACACTATCCATTAATACAGTCTCTCTTGTTCTCTTGTAATTTTAATATCTTTTTTTCATAATTTATATGCCAACTATTTCCCTGAATTTTGCAGATTCAAAATTTTTTCTTTTTCTTTTTTTCCATTTCTTTTATTTATACTTAATCTTGTCATTGTAAAAACTTAATTTGTTGAGAAATATGGTATTTCTGTTGAAATTTTTAAAATTCTTTTTATCTCCTCCAAAATGTCTTTCTCTTGCCACTTTCTTTGTGAATTGAATGTTGTAAGACTGAATGTGAAACGTAGTTATGTACAAACAATGAACATGTAATTGCTAAAATGTATAAACCTTTGTTGAAATTTGAAACAGAAAAAAAGTGAAAATCAGCTAAAATTGGTTATAATATACTGATGGAACAATGGGAATATATGTCGAGGAAAATATTAAAATTTACATTATGTTATAACCTTAAAGAGAATTTTTACAAGATGATGTATTACATATTATTAAAGAAATTGTCTAGAATGCATAAAGGCTTTTCAAATACAGTTGGAAACATGCACAACAATATGGTACATTTTGTCATGCTTGACTGATACAGTATGTAAAAAAGCTAGAAAATGCTGAATTTAAATATATACACTGATTTAGAGGATTTTAAAAACTAATACACAACTGAGACCAGAAGTCTTTCTTTTGGGACTAACAGACAAATAGTCGAAGAAAAGTCTTTTGCATGGAGCTTTGTTTTTGTATGTGGTAACTGCAGTGTGATTATTGTATGCACAAAAATAAACATGCCCCACACGCATAAGTCTATACACTTTAGTATAAATAAAGTATTATTTTTAAAATAGTACCTTTAACATAAAAGAAAAAGAAAAAAAGTAACTCACACCTGTATTTTTCTAATTAGGGAAAACTTAAAATTCAAAGTGTTGGGGTTTAAATTATTCCATATACCAGCCATAAAAACATCAATATCAAATTCAACACTGGGGGGCACAGTTGTTCTGTCTGTTTATCTTCCCTCCCTCTCTGTCTCTCACCTAAAGACATAAGGCATACATGCAGGTATGCACATACATATCCATAACACACCATGGATAATGAATTGTTTTCCTTAATCAAACTGTTGGAACTTGGTATGGATATTTCTAAGTATTTTTAAAGCATACTTTGCTTAATAGACAACAATTCTACACCAATCTATTAGAAACAAAGTTCCAAATAAGATTGTAGTCTAGTATTTACTAAACAATCCATGTTCTTTTGGGTCATCATGTCAGAGACATTTCCTTATCTAAACAGAGAAACAGAATGACCAGAGCAGGCAAAATAGCAATGGGAGGAGGATTGACTTTTATATTTTGCAAAATGGTGCTGGTCTTGCATGCTTTCCAAGGGTGAAGAATATTATAGCAGTAAAAATCTTCATGACCTTTCAGATCAAGGATGTTACCACTAAACAGTCTTGCAAATAAACAGATAAAATCAAGTGAAATAGTTAAATGCCTATCGAAAAGCACATTCTGATATTCTGAACTGGAATTGTGGAAGATCGGCAAGGAGTTAATGATGTGAACCTTTAACCCTTTGCACATATAAGAAATTCCTGTCCAGATTGGACTATTTAGCCAGCTGAGGCAATGTCTGCATTTCTCCGCATATGCATTGAAAAGAAGTTATTTGTGAGCTTTATGGATTGCATCATTGTTATTCTTAATCACTCTTGCTTTCCCGTCATCTGTATTCTTTCTTGTAACCAGTAAGTAATGAGAATGCTTTAGTCTAACGCCTACCAAAAAATTAAAAAAAATATCCATTTTATATTTTTGATAGTATTTAATTTATATTGTTGTAAGTGTAGCTTGGAAGTTTGGATACTTGATATTTTATATCTTCATTATGAAATTTTCAGGACTATTAATATGACTTTAAAACATTTGCTTTCAGGAAGAAGGTATAGACCAGGGGTAGGCAACTTTGGCTCTATTATGACTCGTGGATTTCAACTCCCAGAATTCCTGAGCTCAGGAATTCTGGGAATTGAAGTCCACAAGTCATAAAAGAGCCAAGATTGCCTTTCCCTGGTATAGACATATGCAGCATTCTCTGATAAGAGACAGTACTGGCCAGTCTAGCTACCATGCCACAAGGGCAACCAACACCCAGTTTTACCCAAAACATGCCCAATGAGTTCATGCTATTCCATGCAAGCTGGAACTGCTAAGACCACATTTTCAACAAAAACCACTTTCAAAGACAAGTGCAAAAACCTGGATGACTTTTGTAGATTAAAAGGCCAGTATGTAAAAAGTATATAAAGACCAGTAAGAAAAAAAAAAATCTTTCCCTTTCTTTATTTTATTGTACACAAGGAATACAACTGAAAAGTCCATCCATGCACCTGTTTCTCTTTGGTATTCTCCAGAGATCATGGAAGAAGATTGATTTAAGACAAGTTGATTGCAATTAATGGTATTAAACAAATGAAAGATAATGCAAATGGAGAACAATAAGAGATAAAACTTTCAGATATAATTAATAATAAGACATGAGCCTGAGTATTCGTTGGACGCTTACCTGGGAATAAATCACATTGAATTAAAAGAAGCTCATTCCTAAAGAGAAATACATAAGATAATTTAGTAATACTGAACTTTCTCTAGATTCTGTTCAATGCTCATTGACATTTTTAAATACAGATTATCCTTGTATAATTTAAACAAATAACCAAGAAAAAGGCCTGAACTATATTTAAGCCTACTTTGTTCATTTATATAAGGGTCTTTCATAGATTTGTTCCATTTTATTTGAACTCTTCTTACCTTACCTATCTTACCTTCCTTTCTTAAGCTTATGCATAGTTTTGCACTTCAGGGACACAACTTCAAACATACTCTTCAATGTTTCGATATAATAGATTCTTGAGAAACTGGAACCATACAGATGTCTTCCAGTTGATTATATACTGATGACATACATAGACAGAGATACAGTTTAAGAACATCCTGAACACAGGATTTTCATTTAGGATGGTTTTGTTTTTGACACAGCTGTCATTGTGTTGTTGAGTAATGAATGTTAGAGACATGGCATCGGTGTTAACTATGTTAGTTAGTGCTCTTAAAACCTTACTTTTCAGGAAGGACTACTGCAACTGCTTATTTCTATCACTAATGGCTGATTATACTTTTTGTTGCTTGTCTGGGGTGCTGACAACACATTTTAAGAAGCTGGAAGGGCTGTCAATTGGATGATTCAAAAGCAACAGTGGTGGGTTTTTACTTCTTCTTGTGCTTTTTAGTTAATTGTCCTCTTTCAAACTGCAGGCTCACATTGTTGTCTGTGCCTTTTTCCTTTGTGTGGATCTCCTGGGAAAATTGCTGGACTGCCTGCTGAATGGCTATATGCACAATCAATTTGCTGGCATTCTGCAGTTTTGTCTCTTCCTGTCTGGTTCCAGATTTATCTCCTGTAAGAAAAAAATATTACTTTAACTGGAAATTATATATAAATACATCAATATCTATTACTTGAAATTATCAGTACCACTGAATACCGCTCTAAAGTCTTCATTGGCTGGAAACTCACAGACATAGTCATTGATTATTGGTCCAGCTGTCTACCATTCACCAAGAATAATGCTTTCCTTCTTATTCCTGCTATTTGTGATCTTTTATCTGGAAATGCAATTGCATGTCTTCGTTATGAATAGTACTGGATTTTCTTAGTCCATCATCACTGGCAGGCTATAGAGCTTTTATTAGAGTATCCTAGTGTTTCTCAATCAGTTTGGTCTACTGGTTAAGGCAACAGACTAGAAAGCAAGATAACATAACTTCAAGTCCCTCCTTAGCCATGAAAGCCACCTTGTCGCTCTCTCTCAGCCCAACTCACCTCATAAGATTGGTGTGGGTAAAATAGGAGGAGGAAAGTGTATTGGATATGTCTACAGTCTTGAGTTATTTGTAAAAATAATAAGAGCAAGAAATAATAAATAAATATCCTTGTAGGCTTGGGAATTCTGGGATTTGAAGTCCACACATCTTAGTTTTCAAGGTTGAGAAACATTGCTTTAGAATAGATCGTGAAGCCCTGTGATGTGGCTCTTGCAGTACAAGTCCTGGCCCACCACAAGAAAATATATTAAATATGGACTCCTATACTCTTAATGCATAGACCAGTGGTTCTCAACCTGTGGGTCGGGACCCCATTTGGGGTCGAAAGACCATTTCACGGGGGTCGCCAAACAACGCAGTCCGCCATTTTTTCCCCCCTTTTCCTTAGCTGTGCTACTCCCTTTTATTCTATTGGCTTTTGAAAGCCAATAGAATAGACTCTCTTGAATAGAGTCTAATTCTATTGGCTTTCAAAAGCCAATAGGAATTGTCCAAGCTGTCTCTGCCCTGCTGAGCCCGCCAAAAGTCCCATTCTGCAAACGGTGCTACACCAGTTGAGTAGTCCTCGACTTACGACCGGTTGAGTAGTCCTCAACTTACGACCAGTTGGGGGTTGCAGCATTAAAAAGGTTGAGAACCACTGGCATAGACTGTAAGGCTGTATTGCATGTGCACAAAAATAATAAACTTTACCAAAATATGTAATTTTTTTTCTCCCCTTGATTCCAGAATAGCTAAAGATAATAAAAAAAAATCTGCTTGCTTTCCTTTGAAAGACAGAAGGGTGATCAACACATATTAATAAAAAAAAACATTTTGCTAATTTGATTTCAACATAAATAATGAGACATTCTTTCCGGAAACATAAACAAAAAAGCTTAATTCAGTCTGTGTCTTTTTATGAATAACAGGGTATTCGCAAATATATATATACATAAAACAAAATACTGACTTTATCAGTATTCCCAATTTTGTGGTCTTTTCAGGACACAGCCAAACATGGATCAATTTTGTTTGCTTCCCACACTAATACCATTCTGCTGTTTCAGGAACATGATTGGCCTTTGTTGATCCAAAGCTAATCAAAAATGCTCTTGGCTGTCTTTAAATTGGCTGTCCTGAGACAAACATGCTCCAGGCATTTCTAACTATACAGACTTACCTGAGTTCCTAAAGAGTTTTGGTTTCCTTTTTCTCAATCTTTTCAGAAAAACTTAGGAAGGCTATAATCCTAGAGAAAGGTCACACACTGTTGTAGAAGCATTTTGGTTCAATGAGACACCAAAGGAAAATATTACACATCTTTTCTTATAGGCCAGTGATGGCGAACCTTTTAGAGACTGAGTGCCCAAACTGCAACCCAAAACCCACTTATGCATCGTCAAGTGCCGGGTGGGTGTGGCCCATTGGGTGTGGCCCATTGGGTGGGTGTGGCTGCGGTGGTAACGGCAGAGTGGTTGGGACTAAAAAGTTCAACCAATCAAGTCCAACTTTGCAAGATCTTTTTTTTCCCGCAAGAAGTTGAAATTGACTGATTGAACCTTTTTTTTTTTTTTTTGCACACGGCAGTGGAGGTCTAAAGCAAAAAGGTTGTTGTAGTTATAAAACCCAGCTGAAGACCTAGGACTGGGGCGACGGTGCGCATGCCCACAGAGAGGGCTCTGAGTGCCGCCTCTGGCACCCGTGCCATAGGTTTGCCACCACTGTTATAGGCACTTATAAATCTAAAATGAAGTTCTCAAATGCTATAGTATAAGAACACATGAAAAAGTATCTTTGGTTTGTGCCATAGTTATTCCATTTTTAATACTCTTTTGTGTTGTTTGGTGGCTCAGAGGATGTATTACTACTCAGCCCACCATTCACTCTTTACATCAATCCAATTTCTCTTGTCTTTCAGGAGAAGTCTGTTTTCAGTTTTGAGTTGCCCACTTTTTCATTCTAGACTCCTTGAACTGGAAGCGGGTCTCCATTTCTTTTCTTTTACTTTATACAGAGAGGACCAAGACAGAAAGGAGCCATGGTGGTGCAGTGGTTGGAACGTAGTATTGCAGGCTAACTCTGCCAACTGCCCAGAGTTCGATCCTGATCGGGTCAAGGTTGATTCAGCTTCCATACTTTAGAGGTTGTTAAAATTAGGATCCAGATTGTTGGGGGCAGTATGCTAACTCTGTAAACCTCTTAGATAGGGCTGTAAAGCACCATGAAGAGTATATAAGCCTAAGTGCTAAATGTTAAATGCAAAGAAAGTATAACCTTGTATTGATGTTTTAGTATTACAACTATTTAGCATCTCTTATCTCATGGGTTTTTCATATCACTCTCCTTACAAATTCAATATACTTTTGACAGGAGAGTGTGTTCAGCAAAACTTTATGTAACAAGAGTACTTGAACTATGGTTATTCTTTTTTCCTTCCTACTTTATTACTGCTGCCTTTCTATTTCTTTGACCTTACTGCTGTTCCCATGAAATCCTGCTTAAGAAAAGGAGATGATTCTTCAGACTCTTCAAAAGCCTCTTTCTTTCTTGTTGCCTTTTAGGGCTGCATCATTTTTTCAATCTCTTTTAACCACTGCTTGACTACCTTTTTCCCATATTGTTCTCCATTATTAATTGGCTCAGAGAGACTAAAGTAATTGAGAGCCTGAGGCAGCATTGAAATATGCCAATCAAATTCTAACTAAAAGACTTGCTATCTACACTTTGTATTTTGGATGTGTTTGGTAATTATACCATTTCAATTGTATTTTGCAATTTCCCAAGAATCATTGGAATATTTTGTCCTTGGCTGTTTTGGGGGATTGCCTTTAGGTGATCCAGCAGTCCAACTTCACTCCACTTCCAGATTGCACTGTCAAAATGTAATGAACAAGTGTTGATTTTGGTAGCAAGACTTTAGGGCTTATTCTGAGCACTGAATTGTTTTAGGGTGGAAGTGAGAGCAATGTCTTTCATTGTCTTTCATTCCTACCCTAACATCCCCAATCTTGGAGAAAAGTGGGCTTAAAGAATACAGCTCATCCTATCTGGTGATGTCATAGTATCAGTTGACAGTTTCCAGAAGCCATCTAGATTAGAAGGCTCAATTGCTTAATGAATTGGCAACAGTGGTAGCCTTTGAGCACTCAATGAATATATATTTAGGACTGGACATTAATCCAGACATTTTTCTTTCAGAGAGTTCTCTATCAAATCTAATTACTACCCAAAAAATAGTATTTTAAATATAAGCCACATTGGGAAAATCTGATTTTGAAGGGGGAGAGGTATATACATTTCTAAAGTAACAGATTAATCCTTGAGGAGTAAAGCAAAATGTTTTTGGCAGATTTACTGTGTTTTTCTATTTTGATTTTCCATTTCTCAATGCTGAAAAAAGGAAAATTGTGGAAATGTATTTTTGTTACAGATACTATAATTATGTGCAAAAGCCCTGCAAAGAAATTTATATTGCATTTTAGTACAATTACAGCTAAGCGTGCAGAAAGGGCTGTGATGATTCATCTAGATTTCTAAAAATGGGATATTTTTTAATTAGCAATATTGATTGCTTATGACCTGCAAAGGATTTTAAATATGTAGAGTACTATTGAATTGCATTACTTCTACAGGTTTTATTCTTTGTTATTGTTATTCTTTGACTAAAAATAAACTTGCACAATGAGATGGATAGATGCTTATAATAATTCACACATAGGTGTTCCCTGCAAATCAGGGTGATGAAAAACAAATGATTGCAACATCATGACATAACATCAGGCTGTTTGTTCTTATGTCCTGATGTCAGACTCAAGTGTATATGCTAAAAGGCTTTTGTTGTGATGACATGTGACGTTTCACCAGATGCTTTTCCTTGCTCCTGCACAGATGCTTATGAACTTTGCTAAAAGGCTGAATTGCTCTAAACAATTGTATGTCTTAATCTGTCTGTTATGAATTCCCATTAGAGCTCGTAATTTTTTTTCTGGCCAAATTTATGTCTTGGTTTGTCTGTCAACAAAAAAACATACAAAGTGATTTTTCTTTTCTTTTTAAAAAAAGGTCAAATGTTTGCATTTTTATCTTTTTAGTTTTTCCACTTTTTGACATTATTTTAGAAAATTAATGAAAAAAATCTGATTTGTCTATTCATGATAATGAAGTTAATACATACAAGATCATTCCATTTTTTGTGTAAACTTAAATTAACATGCTTGCTAAATCATAATTGGTGCCCCCACCCGCTTTTTGTACAAACATGTTTATATTTGATTTTGTCACTAAGTACCAAATGGAAAATAGTACCTGTAATTCAGCTCACAGCTGATATTACGAAGACAGATAATATTGTGGTTGAAAAATGTGACATAATTTTGTTCATATTATTCAGTTTTACATTCCATTAATTCAAATGAGATTGAACATTGTTTAAATAGTTAATAGTTCTTGTCTGTCTGTGTGATGCCCATAGTAAGATTTATGATGTTGACTAACATTCATAGCTGATCTCTAATTTCAGGGAGAGTCATCTCTATTCATTAAATAATTCTGAAATGATGTTGGAATAAAAGAATGCATGCTTAAAGATCTTTCTGCAAAGACAACCTGAACAAGAATGATTACGTTAAGCAAATATTTTACAATAGCTTAAGAGTATGATTGTGAAAACCCTGCTTACTAAGGCAGTTGAAAAAGGCACACTTATTATCAAAGGGTCATTGTTTGTTCCCTTCATAGTGGTTATAATCTCTTGCTGCAGTTTTCTAATCTCATGTGTTTGCCCTAAAAAGCCAGTTGTGAACAATGATGCGAACCATCTGCTCTGCTAGATAGACAGTAATAAAAAATGGAATGACTCTGGATTACTACAGAAAATAAACAATTCCTCTAATAAAATAAACTTTTCCATAACAATTGGGTCTATTATGTGCCACTTTGGAATTTATAACCATTTTTCGGTTTTAAAAACTGGATTGGGTTTGATTGGAATTCAACTCTTCTATTGACTTTTATAATATTCCATTATGGCTCTCCAACTTGACTTCTGTAATCACATCCTTATTATTCTGAAAATACAATGGTTATCACCTAAACTACAATTGAATCTTGTTTGATTTTATGTTTTTATTTATCATTGAAAATGTTAGTTGAGAATTCATTCTCCAAGGCCTTGATTTTCTAGCGAGAATTGACATACAGAGAACCCATAAGTGGACAATGGCAATAATTTTGTATAACTAATTTCCCTAACTCCTAATAGAGAGACAAAGTGCTAAGGAATGAACAAGATCAGTAAACAGTATTAGAATGGGCCTATAAGAGCTGCCATAGCATTTCAGTGAGTAAATCATAATGCATTATCATGTAGTGCTTTCATGATGAATTAGCAGTATTTGTCTGGATTTAACTCTTAGATTTTTCAATCAGAATATTACATTTCCAACAGAATCCCTTATCAGGTGCCATTGAAATACTAACTTCTATCTCTTGACATTAAAATAGTTAGCATTTGTAACAGGAGATATTCCTTAATTCACTTTTTATCCTTTGCATTTCTAGATAAAAGACCACAAACTGCAGGCATGAGAAAGATATTTCATTGACAAAGTAAACCCTAGCAAGTTAAGGGACAAAATTCCTAACAGCTCTTTTGTAAGCTCTTATGCAAATATTATATTTGACAGTTTGTACCACCACCATCAACTCAGCTACTCAAAATGTATTTAAAACTGCACTTCCAACAGATATTCCAAAGCAGTGTTTGGATCCAAACTTCTTATTTGCTGTTAAAGAGCTATTAAAGTTGTAAGGTATATTTTTTTCTCTCCAACGTTTGAGAGAAATTCCTCAGCCAGCATAGCTGAAGTCCACAAGTCATAAAGTTGCCAAGGTTGCAGACCCTGAATAAGAGCATGGGTGTCAAACTCGCTTTGTCACGTGACATGTCATGACTTATCGTGACTTTTTTTTGCATTGCCGGAGCTGGGGTGGGCGCGGCATCCATATGATGCAACTGGCCGCAGGTCGGCAGTTTAATACCCCTGAATTAGAGGAACCATATCCATCTTCTATGAACCTGAACCAATTCCAAATAATATTATTTATAATTATTTATATAGTGCTGTTCATCAAATATTTCATAGTGGCATACATGTTAATAATATAGCAAGAAACCCGACAATCCAAAAGAGTGAAACTTATGATAATTTATCTAAACTCAGAAGATATTTCTAGCAAGCCAAGTAGAGAATGGTGTTGCAGGTTTATCATCCTATTATGCAAACTTATTTGAAATATGCTGATTTAAGACAGACTGGTAACTTGGTACACATGTGTGGGAACTAATTTTTAATTTAAAATAACCTTTTTTTTCTTATCCTATTTGCAGTTTACCTTATTGTTACTACTCCTGAGGCTAATGAGTTCACTTCAGAATTAGCAGTTCAAGAACTCAGAAGGAGTCTGGTAACACCTTTTCCAACTAATGACTTTTATTAAAAGATACTGTATAAGCTGCAGCTCACAAAAGCTAATCTCTTTTAATAACATTTATTAATTGAAAAAGGTGCTACTAGAGTCTTGATTTTTTTGCAGCATAGACTAACAACTCTCCTCCTATAATGAATCAAAGACTAAGTATAGAAAGAGAGGACCACATAGATTCTGTGTGTTTGCATTTAAAGGTATAGGATTGCAGCCTATAAAATATTTGCTTAAGGATGTTGTTGTAGATAAAGGTTTATCCTCTTCTAATATGATTTAGAGAATGTTCAGACAGAAAAGGGGCGATGTCTAGACAGCATGACCCTTTTCTGCAGAAATATGACCTTATAACTTCACACACATTAAGTGAAAATGATGGTAAGAGATACTCTTTTGCTCAGTCTGTCAAGCAAAATATAAGGAGAGGGAAAGGGAGAAGGAGAGGGAGAGAGGGGGGGAGGGAGGGAGAGGGAGGAGAGAGAGGGGGGAGAGAGAAAGAGAGAGAGGGAGGGAGGGAGGGAGAGAGAAAGAGAGAGAGGGAGGGAGGGAGGGAGAGAGAGAGAGAGCGAGCAGATTAATTGCTATAAAAAAGTATTTCCCATTTTAAACCTTTTCCTCATTCTACACTCCATCAGTCCAAGCATTGCTCTGTATTCCATCCGAATCTAAGCAAATTCAGTTCTAGATGTAGTTAGCAGTGTTTCTTTCCTGAAAACCAAAAGCCTGCATTTTGGTAGAACAGGATTACAGTGAGCATTTCGATTCTTATGGAGAATAAAATATGGCCCATCTACAACAATCTGAGAGGGGGGGAAAAAAGGTTGAATACTTTACCTGGAGCAAACACCATGGTTCCTTCCTGCCAAGAGAACAGTGTAATAAGACACCACAAAATCGTGTGTAAGAAGCAGGAAGTGAGCGGGCGGGCAAAGCAAACAAGCAAATTATAAGAACGAGTTTTGCCGTGACATCAGGAGTGGTAGCACCTTGGACAGCTACACGCACAGAACAACGCAGCCAGCCCTGAAATGCTTCCCTGCCAGTTACCTCCAAAATGCACCGCTGAGGGGGGAGGGGGGGCGAAGGGAAGAGAAGGAGGAAGGAGCTCACTGTTTAGCACATATCCCATGTCTTCGCTCACTGCACACACAGGTAGGCTGAAGCAGCAGGAGAGGGAAAAGAGGAAAGGTAATAGCAGACGCTCTCGGCAGGAGACTAAAGTAATTGCTCCCAATTATCTTCGTCATCTTCTGCACTAGATGCAGCCAAGGTGAAATGAACAGGGTGGTCTTCAAGGCTAAGTTAAAAGCCTCTTGTAAACTGACTGTTCCGAGGCACTGCAACATCTTATTATTTAGGGATTCCTCATATTAATTATATTTTTTTACAAAAGCAATCAATCTATAAGTTTTGCCAGGTGTTCTTGACATTTCTGTATACTTTGATGCTGCTTTCTTCTCTAACGTTTGCAGTCTATCATCTGGAACTAGTTGAACTGCAGCTACAGGGGAGAAAAATGTGTGAGTAAAAGGTATCAAGAGCCATACTTTTCATAACAATCTTTGTTAGTAAATTGTGAATCCTTCCATTGATTATCAGAAACTAATAGCTGGGGTGGGAGGTGGGTTTTTAAAAATGTCTTAGGCAGTTATTGCTGTGGTTATGAGCCAAAAATGCCACTTTCAGCTGATTGCCCTGTAAAATGAAAACAGAAACTTGCCTCTTTAAAATCAAAATCATTCCTATAAATAATTTTTTAAAAATCATTCTTTTTGTTGAACAGAAACAGTCCTTAAGTGTCCATTTTAAACAGATCATATTTACTTTTTCAAGTCCATTATTACTTTCTGTCAAAGTAACGACAGAACTTTGCTCACACAGTATGATCTGCCCAACTTAGCACTTTTCATTAGTCAGGAGACTAAATGCAAAGGCTTAAAAACTTGATTGATTTCACTCACTAAAATCAACTGTATATCAGAGTATCTGAGACTGATAGAGAATAAAAAGTTGCATGTTTGGTTGGTTGCTTAATATGTAAGTTATATTACAGTTTATGACTCTTTGATAATTTTGCCACCTATTACCTCAAATTCAAATATCTTTAAATCATAACAAGTTTAGGAATTTCCCCTAATCTTAAAGCACATTAAAAGCCTTGCAATCTTAATAAAATATATACAGTATTTCTGATTTTTGTCAGTAAGCATGATCAACTTAGTCATTTCTAAGTATTTAAAATTTCAACAGCCTATCACCTACCCCAGCCAGTATCAAGAGCTAGAGGAAGTTTACTTTAAAATATCTGAAAATATATTCAGTCATTTTGGAAACTACTTAAGTGCACAAGAAATGTGCAAATAAATTATTCTCCATCTTCCTGCATATTTGATGTAATATTGGAAAAGAATAGAGTTAAATAAATAGGTCCATGTATTTTGCATGTATACTGAATTCTGTGGTATTTCCTTGTACATTATATCATAAACATAGAAAAACATTAAGTCATTACATTTCTAATTAATAACATTTGTAGAGAAATCAAACTTATGGCAGCTCACAAATGATGCATTTTATGCAAAAATTTACATAGAAATATGGGGGTTTTGAAATACAATTTGTTGTTTTTGTTGCAAAAGATTAACAAAATTAACATATAAAATTTCCTTTTCACTCCTATGGTGGTATGTGTCTTCTGCACAATAAATTAGCTGTTCCCTGTTCCCAGTACTGTACTGAGACCTCTGATATTATTCCTAGGATCTGTTGGAGTTTAGGAGTGACAGCCCCAAGTGTTCCTACCATCACTGGGACTACTTTGGCCTTTGCTCTCCACAGCCTCTCTATCGTTAGTTCTTCTTTCAGGCCCGGATATTTCTCCAGCTTCTCATACTGCTTCTCCCTAAAGTTGCTGTCACTTGGCAGCACCCTATGTCTATTACCACTGCTGTCTCCTGCTCGTCTAGTACTACTATTTATATTGTGATTTAATGCCCTGTCACATTATCACAAAAAAAACCCTTTACTCAATTAAATTGATTGGAAATTATTTCTGAATGATTAAAAGGGCAAATGAAAAAGGTTCATTTTAAATAAAAATGGCTAGATTAGCATATTTCCTCTGAATCCATCTTAATTAATAAATTGTTTGGGGCTGATTTCATTCTGCGTATCTTATCCAAGAGTAGAGGAAGCTACTGAAGTGAGTGCATTTTGATCTGATCCAGCAAATCTGAATTTTCTCTTACTTTTAAAGAAAATAAATTTTCTGATAAAAGAATCACATACTACGATCGTGGTTTTAACGGAATACTTGTATAGTGAAATTTTGAACAATGAGCACGGTCCATAAAAAGGTGGGGTTGGGGCATTTCTAATTGCTTTCTTCTAAGAAGCAGTCTGATACAGGATAACACTATTTTTCAAATCACCAGAATACACTACACAAGTAGTCCTCAACTTACAATGGTTGTTTAAGCCATAACAATACAAAGTGATGAGACTCAGAAAGGGTGCTTTACAACCCTGTAAAGAGCTCCATTCCTGCAGCCCACCAGAGCAGTTGTCTTCTACGCAAGGAGAGATGAACTTGTCCACTGAGGTGGAGAAATAGAGCTCAGATCCTGTCCAGCTTTGTTCCTGCAACCTGCTGGACCTTTGTTCTGTACATGGAGGGGAACTGAACCTGGCAGGCACCTTTCGCTCCATAAGCTTAATGATACAGGAGATAGCTTAATGAGCACAACTGGAAATGCTGGGATTGTGGTCATTGAGCAAAGCAGCCATGTGTCTTAATTAATTATGGTTTCACTCAACAACTGAAATTCTGGTCCCAATTTCGATTGTAAGTCAAGGACTACTTGTATTTGGATTCATTTTGAAACATGTAATGTCTCTGAACTAATATTTTTGCTTGCAATCAATTGTCACAGTTCATTGTGATTAAGAAGAAAACACATAGGTATTTAGAACATATTGCACATTGTTATGCAATGAGGTTGTTCATGAACCAAAATGAATTACTTGCAGATCTGACAATAAAGTAGAAACACATGTGCTGGAAAAATCTTATGCACCATTACTTATAAACAAACATTTAAATTTAGTGTGTTTTCTTCAAAGTAAATATGAATAGACAATTCCTAGGATCAAAGTTTCCTGTTTTTGTGAACTAATCATCACAACAGTTCAAGAATTCTTCTTTGTGAAGTTCAATTCATGTGAAAGAAGAGTTCTTTCTGTGTACTTCCTCTTCCTGCAGATGCCTTTCCTTCTTGAAAGATGTTATGGAAAATTGGGAATGTTTCTGAAGTAGAAGAGATCCATGGATAGTGCAACATTGATTGCCTCTTTCCATTTCTCCAGTGTAGAATATCTCTTTATTACCCAATGCTATCTGCTTGCAAAATGGCTATTATAGATCCAGCCCATTAAGTTTCAATATTTTTGCTTATCTATGCAAGTTGCATACCAACATTCCAGCACAGAATGTTCTAATTCCAAAATTGGCTGTTCCAAAGCTAGAATGATCCATGAAAGAACATTTTGCACATTCATATTTTGTTTAAACTGGTGAACCTTCAGCTTGCCCACATACTTCTATTTTGCAAGACCTATTTCAGAAATAATTATTGTCAGTTATTATTTTTACTAATCTGCACTGTGCATATTGTTCTCATGTCTCTTTAGATCAGAACTTAAAGAGGCCAGCAATTTCTTTTTAAAAAAATTAAAATACTGTAAGGCAAAGTTGATTTCATAATAGGCATTATGAAAACATTCAAAACAGAAAATGAAGTGATGTTCTTAGAAAATGTAAGGCACACAATCTGTATATATTCTAAAATATTCAAGTTTTATTTACAAGATATGTTTCAAATTTTGGCATTTTAAATATAACTTTAAGTTGCCTATTCAATGAATATTTCACAATGACATTGTAACAAAGACCATAGCTATATGCAACATTATTGTTTAAAATGTTAGCTTTATATAGAAATGTAAGAGATGTTTGACTCATATTAATTTATAAATACTTATCTGACTCCTGTCAAAACATATCTGTGTTTAACTTCATTTAAAATGAGTTGTATTAATACACGTAAAACAATTACGTATAAATATGTGGAGAAATGTTTTTCAAGATTTTTAACTTATCGTATGTCCTCTTGCTTCATAGAAAACTCATTCTAATTTGTTACAAATGAAACCTGTAACTGAAATAATAAAATTACTTTTATTTTAAATTAGACTAGTAAATTAATTTGAAATTGGTAGGCTAAGTAAAAAATTGAACTTCACAGCTACAGTAACCATTTTCTTCTATGGAAAATATCCCATCATCTTTTATTAATTCCTTGGATAAATACTTCAAGAGATAACTTCATTCTCTGAAAGATAATCAAAAACAAATATGAATCCTGTCCCCTAAAGCTGGCTGTAATTTTGTGAAGATAAGCAGGATAATTGCTTATAAACCACAGGCATTAAGTTGCAAGCTCAAGCATACTTATTAGTAAGCAGCATAGTTTAGGTCAGTAGGACTTACTTTCAAATAAGATACTTTTGAATTAAAATATAAATCCCAAAACCACACAATTATTTGAATCATCTTAGGCTACAATTCTGTAACATTATGTTGGGAGTAATTATTCTGTGGGACATCTGAGTAAACACATGCAGGACTGAGCTATGTTCACTAATGGGATACAAAGCTTTTGAGCAACAAATACAGTAGGAAAAAAGTACATTCAATTGTCTAATTCTAAATTCTTCCACTCAAGTGTGGCAACTATTTTATTCTGTGTTGTTTTTTTCCAAACCATAATCTATTATTCCAATTTTTCAAAGTTTCACAGAAAAGTCACCAAAGGCCTGAGATGACAACATTTGTCACTATGCTATTTAAAGTTATATTTGGGGCTCAGGAATTCCCCTCCATACTGAAAGAGATGTCATGCAATCAAAGCTGGAATCTTTGAATCTGATTTCTCCTGGAAATAATTCAAACCTAATTTCAACTTTTTTGACTTTCTGAACTATCAGCAGCACTATAATTAATTGTTATCAAGTGTTCAGGAGCAGCAAAAATAAGTCTTAACAATTTACTCTAGTTAATTGGAAACGAATGAAATGAATTTACTTTCAATCATTTTCAAAATCATGTTAGCTTCTCTTTATCTTTCCTTCATTACACTTAACTGCCTGAACTCCATTCTGCTATCTACACTAGAATATGAACCCTTGATAATTATGCTGCCTCGATAGTGACAATTTTAATTCTTGCTAAATACCCCCAAATCCTGGGATATAATCTCATTAAGCGAGGATTTGCACTTGAATTCTACATTTCTCCCAATTGTCCTTTTTATTTCTTATGATATGGAATGAATAATAAAAAAAGTATTATTAAAGGAATTTGCAGACAATTCAACAATCTTTTCTTTGTCAGAGCAGAGAAAGCAAAAAGCCAGTATTAGATAGGTGCGTATCAATAGATTTGCTAAACCCAAATGCTGACAAGGAAGAGAGTCAGAATGCTTTTGGTTGCAGTTTATGAATCTTAGAGGAAATCTTTATGTCTAATTTAGCCAAGATCTCCCAGTGGATCATGCATTCCTGAAAACTTTTGTCCATGGTTCATAATGAAAACACACTTTGTTCCATGCCTTCAAATAAAAAAGGCATTATATTATATAGAATGCTGTGTATGCTTGCAATGAGCAAGTTCCGTAAGTATAAAGTTTAGTGTAAATTATGTGTTAATAAGACTGCAAAGTACAGTGATCAGAAAAGACAGAGAAACCCCAGGATGTTTTTTTAGTCATTATCTAATTAGAGATGGGCAGAGGTTTAAGAATCATCTCCTTCATAAGGAGAGTTTCAAGAGGCTACCAGATGGCAGAATGACAATGGAAGAGGCATGATCAATTTATTAGATGTTGTGGTTTTTAAAAATACAATTTGAAATAACAAAATGGCCTAAATTTCATGGTTTAATGTCAGGCCCGAGATCTCGTATTTCAATTTCTATGGTAGAGGGGAAGAGGAAAAAAATCACCCTACTTAAAGTTGGCCATTTTGCTTCTGAAATCTGAAATCATAATCTGTTGATGAGGAGCTCAATGCAGCTCCACTGCCACCCAGTTTAGGGGGGAGGGGGGGAGCACGACAGCTTCTACTGCTCATACACCTTGTATTAACAATGACAATAGATTAAACTGGAGCTACACAATTGCAAACTAATAAATACAATATGAAACCTAATCACATTTTCATTACTTTTGATTAGAACACTGGAAATTAATACATTCACCCCCTCAAATTAATTCTTGCACCCAGTCCAACTCATAATTTCCCATATTTTTTTTTTAAAAAACCCTGTTATAGCAGACATAGTTTATTAAACTGTTTGCTAACAGCACAATTTGTAGGCCAAAAAATTAACAGATTTTGAATTAATCTAATCTTGCTTTACTCAGATGGTACTACTTTCTACTGAAATTCATGAGGCTTAGCTACATAGCAATGAATCTCAAACAGGTAGTTATTTTTGACTTGGCAACTCATCCTATAATTTCCTACCATTGCTGACAATTTCTAATTTAGGATCTTCCTAAATCATAAAAAACATTAAGTGCCAAGCAACTGGATTCAATGAAACAAAAGTAGCTTAAGTCCAAATACTTAGTCTTAATTTCACTGAGCATCGGAGTGTAACATCTTCCATTCCACATGCAGAGTTTATTCCAATGGGACAAGGCATGCATTGAAACCCAGTACTTTAAAGAGAGGAATAAAACACAGCTAGAGTCTGACTTCTAAAAAAATTATATCCAACTGGACGGATGCCTTGATTAAGGTCTTATCCATGCTTGATATGAAAGTTTTTTCCTGCATACTGCAACTATATTTCTACTTTCTAAATCACACTAAAATACTTTGCTCGGTAGTGAGTTTTTAGATCCAAACATTTTCCAGCATATGGCCCCTCCTGTTTTTAGCTACAAGCTATAGTTTCAAGTTGCTGTTCTGCCTCAGCAGCCATGGCAGCTGCCTGTAATTGTTCAGTTTCACTTTGGAGGGCACTGGCTGTGGTTACTTGCTTCCTTTCACTGTGCATATTGTTCTCATGTCTCTTTAAATCAGATGCTTTGGCAAATGCTTTAGTACAAGAGCTGCAGACAAAAGGTTTCTCCCCTCTATGTCTTCTTTCATGATCTTTCAGGTGGGACTTATGTTTAAAAGCTTTGTCACACATGTGACACGCAAATGGTCTTTCATTACTGTGAACCCTCTCGTGCTTTTTTAGGTCTGGTGCACGAATAAAAGACTTTCCACATACTTCACAGCTATATGGCTTGTAGCCTGTGTGGATCTTTAGATGCTCTTTCAAGTGGGCTTGAGTTGTGAAGCCTTTAGTGCACATTTCACAAACAAAGGGCCTATCCGCTGTATGGAGCTTTTCATGTTTTCTCAATCGTGCTTCATCAGAAAATGTTTTGCCACATGCTGGACATGCAATTTGTTCCCTGTGACCATAAAGCAAATACTCAAATTTCATGTCTCCAGCTGCTGTTGTCCATGCTGGTGTCTGTTCATCCTTTACTTCACTTATGCCATCATTAAATGCTAGAGCCTGAGGAGTCTGTGATCCTAATTCTTTAGTTTCAGCAGACTCTATAGACTCTACTTCTTGACCATAGCAGTTCACTTTTCGAACCTCTTCACTCCCTAGCTCCTTCAGAATTGCTTCCTGAACTCTTAAGGTAGCAGTTGGCGATTTACCATCTTCTTGACTAGGAGGAGTTCCTTCCATTGTCATATCTGATGGACTATCATCATGATCACCAATTTCTTCAACCTCATCGTCTTGGTTATCATTAGACTCCCCAATTGGTCTATTTATTTTAAGACAATACTTATTCTTTGATTGTGAATTGTCTTCTGGGCTCGATACATCCCGTTTTTGAGAACAAAGTTTATCCAAAAATCTAATACCAAGAATCTGACCAGATGACATCATTAAATTGACATCTTCTTTCTTAACCGAAATCTTGGCTGTGTACATATAATTGAGCACTTCCTCAAATATATCAGATCGAAGGAAATCTATTTCAATTACAGATGAGCTGTCAACTTCCAGTTTTTTGAAAAGTTTTTTAAAATAGGTACTACAAGCAGCTAGAACACACCTGTGTGCCCTGAATTTTACATCTTCTACAACAATAGCTATGTCACAAAATTCTCCTTCCAATCGTTGCTCATTTAATGTTTTCAGAAACACAGTTTTGTGATCGTCGTCATTATATTTAATGGTTTCAGACATACTGATGAAAAACTCCTAGAAAAAACAAAGTTATTTAAGTTACTCTAAGAAAATCAAGATATTATAAAAAAAATTCACATTTGAATATATATTAAGCTGATGAACATTTTAAAGTAAATGAGAAATCTTCAAAGGAGATATGGATGCAAAGTGGATTACCTATTACTGTATACGCTTCATGAGAAAAAGTGTATTTTTCTCTAATTAACTACAGATCTGAATAGAAAGAATAGAATAGAATAGAATAGAATAGAACAGAGTTGGAAGGGACTTGGAGGTATAGTCTAACCTCCTGCTTAGGCAGGAAACTGTATACCATTTCAGACAAATGGTTGTCCAATCTTATAGATAATATAAATATTACAGCCTTTGACCGGAGTTCAATTTTATCAGGTTCAACCAGAATATATTATTCCTTCTTTCATCTGAGCTAAAGCAAAACAAAAACACAAACAAACAAACCAAAACAAAATATATTTGAAAAAGACTAATACAGAGAGACAAACTGTATTTAACTAGGAGATAAAGCAGAAACCATTAAGTAAAGGAAAGCATTTACACAAGACCAAGATTCCCCCTTTATTCCTCATAATTATTTATAATAACTAGAGAATAAAATAGTTTACTGACACAAAAAAGGAAATGTAAACAAAGAATATACCATGAACAAGGAAAAATCTTTCCTTAGTATCTGAGCAATGTTTTGAAAGCAGATTCTTATCCTGGGCTCCCTGCACCTGAAAAAGAAAACAATAACAAATCTATGAAAAAAATTTACCCTCATAAATCCTGTGAGTTATGTTAGATCACTAGCTCAGGGTCACACAAGTTTATGACTGGGAAGACTGGGCAGGAATTAGAATCCCTGGATCCAAAGCCTATTTTCCAAACTTAAGGTATCCCAAATGGTGGAAATGCTCACACCAGATTCTTTGTACCATTGGCACTACATTTTTCAAAAAGCATTTTAACTGTAAAATGAGTTAAGTTTAATCTTTCTTCTGAAAGATGTGTCTGAGGCCTATAAGTTTTGGTTTTTAACAACAAAATAATAATGGGCAATTATAGGCCTATACATTGTCTGGAAACACAATGACCTACCCAGGAAAAGGACAAAGGTGTAGCAAGAAAGGAAACTTGAAAGATTCGCAACTTTTGTTGCTGGTTATGGTCCACATGATTGTTTTCTGAATGGAGTCTCCTCTCCAGATTTCTTGTGGCTTCTCTAAATTTAACACCATCTTTTAGTGATTCTGTAGTGATTCATTTAATGGAAGTGGCAAACTGGTAGAAAATACAACAGAAATTATCTTATGTTGAGTCGATATTCTTTCTATTATTGTACAACACTTTTATCCTAATTTTACTGATAGCTATCTAACAAAGTTGATATTTTGGACAGAGTTAGAAAATAAAAATTAATCACAGCACTTTTGCTAAAGCTGTGGTCTTAGATTCTATTTATTTCACAGTTTCAAAGCAAGTTATTTATTTCTCTGTGCTAATGCTAATTAGTGTCATTAGCACAGGGGTCATTTTGGGCAGGTATTTTCCCTCATAAATATTTTGAATATCTTTTCATTGTATTTTCTCCCAAAATGCAAAATAAACATCTCCCTTACTGCTCCAGGTGATGTTATCCACAGCACTTTAATCTGTTGTGGAGGACTGTCAGCAATTGGAAATTCCTTTTGAATTAGAAAAATAAGTGCATTTTTTTAAACTACCAATTAGACACAGGTGCTTGCAATCATCCACACATTTGTCTAAAGCAAGAAACTGATCAACAGTGTGATCTCACAAAGGGACTGAAAGTTGCTCAGTTTTTCAACATTTTTTACCAAAATCTTTTCTTCGATGAATTTAGTTTTGGCCTATTCATATTAGCACATTTCTTGCATTCACATTTTTGCTCTTTCCTACATACTCCAGAATTTCTCATATAAAAGTATTGATCCTAGTTTATCTGATAATCCATTATCACTATTATTCTAAATTAGGATTTGTAAATCAAGAACCATCCTGGTTCACATATACAAGTTTCCTATTCAGACATCCAGTATAAAACAGTGGTTGCTATTATGAGCAAGAATTGACTAAAATTCATGTACAGACATGCAGTTGATTCTATAAATAAATCTGGACTATAATGATGGATTAAAACCAACTGGTTCAATGCTGTATTTTTTTGCTGGGGGGGGGGGGAAGAGAATCAGTTCTCTGATTTCACTTTTGCTTGGAACAGTGAACAAGCTTCAGAATATGCAAAACAACTGAAGAACATAAAAGGGCATACAATAATATGCTATTTTTCTTTACTGGAAGGCGAGTCAGATAATTTTTTGTGCCTTTAGTGCATACAAAAAGGATTCTATGCTCACAGAGATTCATCATGAGAGATAAAATCTTGATTGGGCCACTAGTCACTCAAGAATTCATGAAGACTGTACAATATGCAGGTCCTTTTATCGTGCATTCTGAATGCCTAGACAGAATATTACCACTGAATGTTCTGGAAACAGAGAATGCCATGCATAACATTTTCTTTAATTTTAGGGGACATATGAATTCTATCATCCTTTAGCTAACGTCTTGATAAATCTAGAAGGTACATGGGGATTTCCTCAATAATTAATATTTTGTTTTCTAAAACAGTGTTAGGAAGTATTATTTTCTGAACTATCTTTCCTGATAACAAACTCACCAAGGTAACAGATAATCCAGAGATTTTTTTTTTAATTTGTGAAGCCAAAAGAACTAAACTAAGAATAATAGAACAATTCTATGAATATATAAATCAAAACCAAGTCCCGGTAGGACTAAAGCTTATTGTTAAGATAAAATTGGAATTACGTTTCAAAACTGAATTCCAAAACATTATCTTCTCAGAACACATTAAATATATTCGACTTTATGGATGACTCCTGAAATTTGCTAATTAGCTTTCGGAAGTATGCATCGATCCCTACCGATCTAAGTTAACAGTGATGTTTTTAAAGAAGCTTTTATTGTAACTAGTATAAGCACTAATAAAACGAACAAACAAAATCTCTTGACATAAATGGTATGAAGTCTTATGGGGAAATCAAAACGACTACCACGAAAACGACATCAATTTCCAAGTCAGTTTTTTTTTTCATACTGAGCCTATGGCGATCTTTCGCTATATGTAGAAAAGAGCATGGAATTCTAACGTGCACGCTTTGTAGGGAAAAAAAAAATAACACTGCCGGCTCCGTGCGAGTAACCATGTAAGAAACGTGCACGGTCGGTGCATGCGTGCTAGTGCCCGTGCAAGGCCTTACGACTGTGCCCCGCTGAGACGGGGCTGCAACTAAGCGAAGTGCACAGATCCCTCACGCGCGACTCCCCCATCCCCTCCCTTCACGGAGGAGGCGGAGTTCAGGAAGGCCCGCGCGCGCGGGAGCGAAGAAAAAAAACAGCCTTCCATTCCACCCCCTCCCCCAGCCACTAAATCCCGCGGAAGAGCTCGCTCCCTTGCTCGCGCTCCCCAGCATTAACGGAGTGTAAGCATTCATTTACCACGGAGCGAGCCTTTGCCTGCTGCCGCGCTGCACGGGACTGCGCCATCTCCGGCATCCTCCTGCTCCGGTAAAGGAGACGGCGGCGGTTCCAGTAGTGCCAGGCAGCCTTCCAGGCCCGAGACCAACGGCGCGCGCAGGAAGAGCAGCAAGAGGCGGCGCGCGACGGAACCTCTCCAGTGCACCTCCCCGCCTCCCTCCGGTTCTGCTGCAGCAGTCGAGCCTCGAGTGCGCGCGCAGATGCTCGTCCAACTTACCTGCCGGGCTGCGCTTCACGCAGAGACTCCGGGAAGCGGGGGAGGTTGGGTTACGGTGGCGGGAGTGCTTGGTCCGAGCAAGGATTTGGGGATGGGGGGGATATAGGGGGAATGGCGCGCGTCTCCAGCCGTTACCGCCGCTTCCTGCACGAGCATTCAGTCCTGCGCGCGCACGCGCGAGGCGCGCCGGAGGCGGGAACGTGCATGCGCGATGCGAGCAGGGCGCGCCCCCCGCGGGGAAAGGGCGGGCACTGCGGGGATCTTTCTAAAGAGGCGAAGGAGCTCGGTGGCGACGTCGGCTGTTGGAAGGGGAGGAGGAAGGCGCGCCTGCATTGCTCTGCCGCTCTTCCTGGGCTCGCGCGTCCTCGGCTAAGCCGCTTCTAGCTCTTGGTCGCTGTGGTCGGGGCCGCGCGAGATGGAAGCGATCGACAGGACTGTGGATTCCGGATTAGCTGCTTTCGTTCTGCTGCAGCGGAAGGAGGCATCTCCTTGGCTCGTCTTTCCAGCGTTAAATTACTTACCGAGAAATTTGTTTCTGACGGACGCTTATCCCAATTACATATCAAGTTACATTTTACGAATAATAAAAACAATGAAAAGGGACAGTTTCAACCTTCCTTCAAGCTGCACATGCTGTTCCATGTCATTGCTAATTTGAAGGACCGGAACATTCCATTTCCACGCTGAGAACGAAAATAATAGTAAATTCTGAGGCTGAAATAGTGACTGTCCTGCCCATAATATTCCCCCCCCCCCAGTCCCTCTTACGGTTGAGATAAGAGGTTTTCCGCCCAAGATGGGGCCGGCGCTGAGGTTTGGGACAGAGGCTTTCTAGTGAAAAGAGCCATGTTCGGCCAATAGGTTTGCTTGCTGATGGCTAACTTTGCTATCCGGGGTTCTGGCTCTCCGTAACACCCTGATTCATAAACTGATCTTGGCGGGGGAGGGGGAGATGGTTTTCTGATTAAAGGAAAGAAGGCGAGGAACTGTATCCGTTCTCAAACAGGCATTGTCACTTCTGCCCTGGCTGACAGATGCTTGAGGTCTTTATACATTATTTTTTTTAATATTTGATTTACAATTGTTTATATTGATTAATTATAGTCATGGTTTAGTCAAATAGTTTACATTAAGCCATTCTGGGAAAATTATTATCCTAGAGGTGATTTTGTCATAGAACGCCCAGAACGGAGTTCCGGCACCTTTTTTGGATGGAACCCTGTAGGGTAGGCAAGGCGGGTTATATGACGTGTATGAGTTCTGGCACCTTTTTTTTTTTTATAAAAAAAAACCACTTATTATAAATAACTAAAGATAATGAGTTGACGAATGAAGGCGAATATATTCGTCCCAGGATAATGTTGCAGGATACAATCTGGGTCAGTCACCGGTACCAGAGATTTTGTCTTCCAAGCTTTTGGACTTGTATTGAAGCCCATCTTCAGGACACTTCTCTCTAGCAGGGTGTGTGCTCTATGGTATTTATAGTGCCTGTTGTAAGTGGCTTTTTAGATGTTGATTGGGGTGTGTTGATGGCTGGTTTTTAAGTCATTAGCTGTCATTTTCTGCCTTCTAAGTACTTGATAGTACTAGTAAATCAGTATTCTGGTTGAATGACGAGGGACTTGTTTCCCAGGCTTCAATCACTTCCCTGGTTGTTTTTGTGTCTGCTCTTCCAACAATCTTAGTAGCTGCAAAAGTAAATGTGTGTCCTTGTTCATTGCAGTGTGAGGCTATCAATGAGTTCTGGTCTCCTCATCTGACCGCTAGCTTTGGTTCTTGCAAACTGGTGATTAGCTTCCTCCCTGTCTGACCTATATAGTCACAGGAGCAATCCATGCAGGGGATTTGGTAGATTACATTGGAAATATATCTCACCTCAGGGAGATCTTTGCAATGCATAATTTGTCTTCCTATGGTAGCCTCTGGGCAGTGTGCAATGCCCACTTGCAGATCTCGGAAGCTGTGTTCTACAGCTTCTGAAATGCTTTGATGTATGGCAGGGTGTGTCATGTTACTGGTCTTGTACTTTGTTTCTTCCTTTCTTTCCCCACTGTGTTGCATGGTGAATAATGAATTGACCACACAAGTTTGGTTTATCTGATACATTTATGTTAAACTAAACTGTGTTTAGTTTGCAGTTCAATATGTCATGTAAAATGTGTTTAGAAAGTTATGCAAAATTAATTCTATGAAGCTATCTTTAATTAATTCTATGAAGCAAACACATAAAATTGGTAACAGTTGACTGAAATCTGTCATGGCTTTATTTTTCTGTCACAGTGATTCTCTTGCACAAAAGAAAAATAAAGTGTAAGTAATATATGAAAGCCGGTGTGGTATAGTGATTAAGGCATTAGGCTGGAAACTGGGAGAACTGTTCTAATCTCACATAGGCAAAAGGCCAGTGGGATGATCATGGACTAATCACTTTCTCTCTGTCATAAGAAACAGGCAATGGCTCTTCTGAAAATTCTTGCCAAAAAAACTGCAGGACTTCTACGACATTCTCCCAGAATCAGACACGATTGAACAGGAGAAAAAAAACAAGATATAATACCTAAAAATAAGATTAGGTTCTGAGATGTAATATCCGAACTAAGATTTCTAAACCTAAAATGAAAAGAATTTGTACGACTCACTTGCCCATATCAATATGGCTGTCCAGCTTCCTCTTCATTGTATTTGGACAGGATGCATCTAATCCTGGAAATTTAAGTTAATCATGGGCAGCAGGTATATGTTTTTCATATGGCCGAGCTGCAGTCCTACTCCTTCAAGCAGCATTTTATGGTACTGAACAAAAGAATGCAAACAGTAGTTTCATCTTTATTCATTGCTACCCTTCTGCGTTTCTCCTGTGCTGTACCATACATTATATATTTTATTTTCCTCTTTGTTGTTTTTAGCATCCTTTGTTGAACTTTAGTTTTCATGACACCCTCTCTCCAAATCTAGAGAATCTTGCATTCTTCCTTGGTGAACTATCCCACTTTTCATCTCATTCACATGTTGAGCGTTTCACTTAAGAATTTTGTGTAGCCAGATTGGTTTCTGCTACTGTATATACCATTTTTTCCATTGGATAATTTGCCATTGTACTTTTAGTATCTCATTTTTAAATTAGATCCTATCCATCTTAGATTTCTCTTCCCATTACCTACCATTGCCATGGAATCATTGCTTTAAATGAAGTCCAAAGTTCAATGGTACTCAGTTTTGGATTCCCTATCAAGAAATCCAGCTGTATATACACAGCTTCCTCCATAGTTCCCTCTATTTCTGTTTCATCTACTGTCCTTACTGGTTAAAATCAAATTAAGGATAGCTGATGGAGAAAATTCTCAACAAGAAAGGGCAGGAAGTTTATTTAAATTATTTAAAATTTCTGATCATTACTAACTCCTGTATTTTTGACATATTTGTAGTTTGCTTTTGGAAAACATTCACATTTTTTTTTATCAAAAGCAGATGTTAGCAGTAATACTAGTGTTATTTTAACCCAGATGCTTTCAAAAGCATTATTCTTTGAGTTTCTTCACTGATCTAGATATTGGAATCCATGTTTTCACTATTGTATACCTTGGGAATTCTGTTAGATCTTTGTCACCACAGCTGTGACTACAGTAATCAACGCTCTAGATTATCATAAGTTACTTTATTAGTTTTTACCAAAATATGAACTGGGTATTGGGGATGTAATTTTATCAACTATATAGGTTATTTCTGAGTACTGAGGATTTTGACAGGAATTCTAGCCATGCCAACATGACTGTTTCATATAATTTTCAGAATTCACGAACCTACAGGGTTTATTTTAATATCTATATTCTCTCTTGAGAAAAAAATACAAATTTGAATCCTCAGGGATTCATACAATCAGGCGATACTGTTGACCTACTGGAAAATCAACATTCTAGAAGTGCAAATAATTAAGAATGTTTATGGAGATTCTCAGTCATCCAGGTCATGGTTTTCCCAAAGATGTTTTTCAAAAGGTAACTGAACTTTCTTCGTTTTTTTTCTTGAAAACGTTTCACTACTCAATCAAGAAGCTTCTTCAGTTATTACTGAATGGTGGGGAATGGAAAGATATAAAAGAATATAAATCCTCCCATTCCCCACCATTCAATCAGAACTGAAGAAGCTTCTTGAATGAGAAGAGAAACATCTTCAAGGAAAAAACAAAGTCCAGTTGCCTTTTGAAAAAACATGCTTGGGACGATCTCTGGAATTCTGGTAGAAACCATGTACGAAAACTTTTTTGGGGGGCCACTATTGTCTAGAGCAGTGATGGCGAACCTTTTAGAGACCGAGTGCCCAAACTGCAACCCAAAACCCACTTATGTATTGTCGGGTGCCAGGTGGGCGTGGCCCATTGGGTGGGCATGGCTGCTGTGGTAACGGCAGACTAGATGGGACTAAAAAATTCAATCAATCAATCCCAACTTTGGGAGAACTTTTTTTTTCCCACGAGTTGAAATTGGTTGATTAATTGAACCTTTTTTTTTTTTTTGCACACGGCAGCAGAGGCCTAAAGCGAAAAGGTTTTATAAAACCCAGCTGAAGGCCTAGGACTGGGGTGACACCGCGTGTGCCCACAGAGAGGGCTCTGCATGCCATAGATTCACCACCACGGGTCTAGAGTGCTTGCCAGCAAACAAAAAGGCATTCAGATGTATAATGTGCCACTATACATAGGATCTGTGCAATGAAAACAATTCTTTCTTAAGGCAGAATTTTTTTTTTCCATAGGTTGCCGGGTCTTCCTTGCTATAGCATCTATGTGGTTACATATTCAGTAATTCTACCAAATTCCCCTTTAACAATGGCATTGTCATCTTTTTTTCTGAAATTAGGATTCCTCTATAAATATTACACCCTGTATACTGCTATGTATAATGACTTCAAACAAGGTTGATCTTATTTTAGTTACTTTGTATGGCGTGGACTCTATACCAACAAAAAACAGACAAAATGCAATTGTTGCAAATAGACAATAACGTTTTATTTTTTTCTTCCACAGTATTTGCAACCCTTCCAACAAAAAGCAAATTCACCAACAATGAATTGTCATTCTGCATTTTATGCTTATTCTAGTAGAGAATACCATTTGGTTTTTCTAAACCTGTTAATTTGCTTTTCCTAGCATTTTTATCATGTTCATCCCTTTGGAGGAAAGTGTTCCATATATAGTACAGCAGTTGGATACATTTTAAGTGTTTATGTTCATTATAGCATATTTCTTAATCATGTAATTAGAATTGTAGTCTTTCAGTATATCTGTTGCAACACTTAACAGTCATAACAATACTGTTCCTTGCCTTGCAAAATTACTAATGTAGCTATAACTTTATTATATGAACCATGATTTCTAGTTTCTGGAAAGACCAATCTTGGATATGCATTTTGCTGGTATAGTTTAGCAATTAACTGTTCCAGTCACTTCAAGGTAGCCTTTCTTCAGCATATTTTAAATTAAATATAGCTTGTTGTATGGGTTGAGTGTTCCAGGTACAAAACAAATTTCAGGATTTTGTTCTGAATATGAAACATCCTTGCCTGTTTCAAGCAGTAGCAATCAATCTTCCAATTCCCCCAAGTATGTAATTGGACTAGTTTGGAATATTTGATTGAACTATTTTTCATCCTTGTTTCAGCTTACCAGAGTGCATGTGCACTTCACATCTCGTTGTAACATTATCACTTATATAATCAAAAAACAACACCAAACCCTTTCATTCTTTAACTTAGCCTTCAGCCACTCCTTAGGGCCAAGCAAAAATATCAGGAAAGAACAAATTGATCCTACAGAAACTACCCTGAGGTATTCAGAAAGTCAAGACTTTTATTTTTTTTTAAAAAATGAAACTTTTAAGAATTAAACAATTTAGATATTGAATGGAATACATTTTATTTACACAAATAGAAAAGACCTCTCCTTTTGTGAATCTGTTACTAATGCTTCTCTGAATAATTTTTTCCAACTTAATGTGTTCTATGAAGACTTTTTATTGTTTTAAAATTGTTTAAAAATGTTAGTGCTTAGGCCTATTTTTTCAGTTTGAGTTTTAGCAGTATACAACACGAACTACCACTATTACTGAGGCCCTGAAGAGAGAAATAAGGGACTGCAGCTATATCGACGTTCCTTAAAATGTTTAAAGACTTTTTGTTCTTAGAATGGAAAGAATATTTCAACACTCAGACACAAAGCTTCAGGTAGAGCTCCTTTATTCCAAATTCAAAAGACAACACCTTTATTATTTGAAAAACACTTTTTTTTCCTCTTTATCAAACTCCTTATTTTATTATGGCAATACTAATAACAAAGATCCTGGTGTATATTTGGGTACTTTATTTCAATATACTACAAGTGGATTAGGATAAAAATGATTTAAGAGATTAATTTTTGATTGTGGAAAATAAGATGACTGTGCTGCAAAGAGCGAACATCATGCACAAATATGAAGCCCAAAGCAAGAAAAAATTAAAAATGATTAGATGAGCATTGAACCCAAAATTATAATAGTATGTCAGGTAGGATAACTCCTAGTATCTCAAAGAGGAATATTTATGGGCTTATAGCAATAATTTTAATAAACCATAATCATTTGCTTGTTTACTTACAAGTACAGCGAAACCTTAATTTATAATACTTTGACTAAATGGGCTTTGGACACAGTAGAGTAAACTCCAATACAAATTGTTTAATTTACATAACATCCAAATGACTTATCCTTTGATTCAAAGGCTTTTGGGAATAATGGATACTCTCAAATCTACTAAAATGGGCTTTTCTTGTGAATTGTCTTAAGTAGAATTTGATCCTTTGTAAAATGTTTACAATTATGTCATTGAATATATATAGCTAGATCTTTAAAAATGACATATTAAAACTTTTGGATAATGTGCGGAATGAACTAAGTATCAATTATTTTTTTTACTAATTTTAAAGACATGAGTAATCAATGTATTATGAAAAATAACTATTAAAAGTTTCAGCATTAGCAATAGCACTTAGATCAGGGGTCTTCAAACTTGGCCCTTTTATGACTTGTGAACTTCAACTCCCAGAATTCCTCAGCCAGGCATGTTGGCTGAGGAATTCTGGGAGTTGAAGTCCACAAGTCATAAAAGGGCCAAGTTTGAAGACCCCTGATTTAGACTTATACACTGCCCCATAGTGCTTTACAGCTCTCTCTGGGCCATTTACAGTATCAGCATATTGCCCCCAACAGTCTATGACAAGGGTGTCAAACTTGCAACATCACGTGACGTGTTGTGACTTTTTTTCCATTGCCAGCAATGGAGTGGGCATGGTTTCGGCATGAGGCATCCGGACTGTGGACTGGCAGTTTGACACCCCTGGTCTATGAGTTCTCATTTTACTGTCTTTGGAAGAATGGAAGGCTAAGTCAACATTGAGCCCTCCGTCAGGATTGAACTCCAGGCTGTGGGCAGTGTTTGCCTGCAATACTGCATTATAACCACTGTGCCACTGAGACTCTTGAAAAATATCACATTTAACCAAACCAAAGTTGTTTGAGGTAAAGTAAAGTAAATACAAAATAATAACAGAACAAATTCCAATATATTAAGTATCATGAACATGGCCAAAACTATTAGCATGCCAAATGGAAGCACATTTTGACTTGACTTGGTAAGCTCTATGAAGATATGCCAATTTTCTGAATGGTAAAACATCCACAATGTTTATAACAGTCTGGCCTTTTTAAAATCACTTCTTCAGATTATTATAGCAATGCACCTATAGTGGTTACTTTTAAGGCTGAAGCTATTAAGACAAGCACCTGACTGGTTCTCTGAAGGGGATATAATTATATATCTTCCACTATCAAGGCTAGGAAGAGAATGGCCTCATTTCCATTAATACAAACAGATAGAAGTAAAGGGGCCTAGAATTTAAACTCTGGAGAAAATAGATACTATAATTATGGTTCGTTTTTGTGTTCTGCAATGCACTGATCTTTTGACTATATGGCTTTGATTGTACTTACAATAAAGCAACTTATCTGTCATAACTGAAAGCTTCTACAGTAAGAATATAGTGTGAGTGAAAGGTTATGACTTATAGCCACTAAAATTCTTTTCATTTGTTTTGTAATAATATAATAGGTGAGAGGCACTGAATATATAAACTGGACATGTGGCTCCATACCTGCAAAAGACTCTATATGTTTTCTCTATAGATTGTCTCTTTTTTATTTCAAAATACTTATCCTATTCTATCCTAAATAGCCTTGAGCTGAACAGTGTGTATACTGTTATTATTGACAAAAATAACATTATAGATACTCCATTGTTTCAAAGCCTATTAAATGAAGTTTATTACATCTTTTCTTCAGTGAAAGTTATCATGCCTGAATTATGAATGAGCAACTAAATTCAAAAATCAAAGGCACAGTACTTCAGCATTTCACTGGTTGATCACAAAACACATATTGAATTCTTCCAATATAGCATTTGGAGCATTCTGGCTAGATTTAGAATATAAAATACAAAACTATTTTTTAAAGCTAATGCTCAAAAATATTTAGTTAATCATGGTCCTTATTAAACTTACATGAAACACATTACATAGATTTATAATACAGAAAAAATCAAAGGGAAGTTATATGTACAAAATTGAACAGACAGAATTAGTTTTTACAATTTCCTTCAGTTTTCCTTGCCCTTCTATTTGTACCTACCTAAACCATATTGAAACTATATGAAAGAACATCTCTTTAGAATATTAAATGCCTTTGATTTTATACAAATAGTAGCAACATTTAAATACTGTATAGCAAAAACTTTTTTAGACACAGACCAGTACAAATTTAGGTGCATTTACCACTTTTATTTTACTTTGCAGAAACATACATTCGCCATGTATTGTGATGAAACTGACAGCATAAAGAACATTGGATCCTTTTAAATTGATGTGATAATAAAAATGAAATAATGCTTTTTAAGTGTTCTGTACGGTTTAAGGCTTAACTCTGACCTAAGTAAGGAACACTGACTAGACTTGCAAAAGAAACTTCTTTGTCTGAGAGTGGACAGGACTTGGTTTTGAAAAATCATCTTTTCAAGATGAACATTTCTGAGATGCTAAGGAAAATATACATTTTCTTCAAAATAATCACAATGCAAATTTATAGATTGAGACTTTAGAAAAGTGACGGCAGGATTTCTAACTTTAACAATTCTAAAAATCATTAGCTATTAAGGGTCCCAAAACAGATAAACAAAACATATATTTTATAAGCATTTAAATAAGGTTAGAGATTCACCATTGTTTATAGAACAAAAATAATAAAACCAAATTATAACAAATATATGATTCAAGTTATTTGTCGAATAAAGTATGTTATTGGCACATCTAATGTAATAAAACATATATATATAGTACCTGTACACTTCTAGTATTGTAGTGTGATCTTAATTTTCCCTAAACAAAACTTTGCACCCCAAGAAACTGTGTTTAGACTCTCAATAATAGTAAAGGCATGAGCTGTTTTATGTGTAGCATAATACAATTATTTTAACTGTTGATGAACGTGCCATTTAGATGTAAAGTTGATTTAGGAAAATAAAAATGCTGCTTTTTTGTAATTTGTTGTTTCATGCAATTATTAGATTATTAAAGCTGATTCAAATTGCTGTAACTGGGGGATTTCTGCAAGTGTCCTTAATTAGCAATTAAAATCAAAATCTTCCACATTGAAAATTTCTCTGGAGAGATGCAAGTCAGCTGGGTTAGAACCAAGACTCCATACAGGCTCTGATATTCCCAGTGATGAAGTTCATAGAAAGCTACTCTAATCCTGCAGTAGAGAGAGTATAGTTATATTCCATCAATAATAAATCTAAAATAGTAAATAAAGTCACAAAAATAATTACAAATATTTCTATACAAGAGAACTCTTTAAGGCTGATGCAATGAATCATAAAAGTAAGTTGAGTTCAGATCTCTATTTTCTGAAAATCTATACAATTATATTGATGGTCTTTTTAATGAGAGCTTGTTGATGACAAATCTATATTTATAACCAACGTTTCAGATTCAATTTTTGACAACTGTAATGAAAGGAATCAAGTATATGCACTGGAAAAATTTGATATTTGGGATAACTAAGGAAGTAGTTATTACTGGCCAAGTAGAAAAAGCCTTGATTCAATATAAGTTAATAACATATGTAACTGCTATATGTATGCTAAATAAATACTTGTCATTCCCAAATGTTCTGCTATAAATAATTCCATTAATTTGTTGTTCAGGCTCTGTTCGTAGACTCATCTTTGTTCCTTCTTCTCTCTTTTCATCTTCCTCGCATATTGCTAAAGCTACAGCAACTGGTTTTTGAAAATTCTAATGTTTCATGAAGTAACACATAATATATATGGACATAAGGAAAACTTGTTGAAATTAAGATTATACTATAAGTTCAAACCAAGTAAAAGCCATCTCCTATTTTTACACACAAAATTCAGCTTTTGTAGACTATGCAATTGTCACTAAATCTTGCAACAGCATAATATGCCAAACATATTCTAGCACATGCATATAGTAACTGCATTTAACACTACAATGCTAATTTAGCAAGAATTTATCAGCATGCCTTTATTCAATCACAGCAACAAAAAAATGCATATCATTGTCTCCTTTTAAGAAACAATCATAAAAATTGCCAGAACATATTAGGAAACTTAGAAAAATGAACAGTTTAAAAAGGTTATCGACAAAACAACTTTGCAGTTGAAACTTAAATACTGGTATTTCAGTTCAACATACTTGCAAGCTTTCTCAGGCAAAACAGTATTTTACAATTAGAGAATATGCTTTTTTTGCCCACAAACTGTGCATAAGCAATCTTCAGGATTGTCAACTACAGAGCTACTACATGGAAAATGCATAGCAACTAGCAAGCAGACATAAGCAAATGGGTTTCTCCTATTTCTCTATCTGGCATTAACATAAAGAAAATGTTCTACTCCATTTGTTGTTAGTTGTGAAGTTGTGTCTGACCCATCGTGACCCCATGGACAACGTTCCTCCAGTCCATCCTGTCCTCTACCATGTTCTGGAGTCCATTTAAGCTCATGCCTACTGCTTCAGTGACTCCATCCAGCAACTTCATAAAGTTAATCTAAATAGCCAAATCATTCTTTTTTTTTCTTTTTTCTTTTGCACAAAGCATAGTACAAATGCCAGAAAGAATAAATAGAAAGGAATAATGACGGGTTCAGGGAGAAGGAATGATCTTTGTCACATGCCAGTCTGTGAGTGCCTGGAAAAAAAAAATCTAGTCCTCTTACCTGTAGTCAATCCTCCCCATCTTCTGGTGTGATTTCTGTCTCTTTATGTACCACTACTTTGGTCACTGACATGTCAGGGTGCTGCTCTTTGGCCTCTTTAATTGCCTGAGCCAGCGCCTAGCATAAGGAAACCACAGAAGGGCAGAAAGGAGAAGGAGGTGGAACATGCATGATCAGTAGCAAGGTGAAGAGAGATTCATGATTAAATTTACAGTTTCCAAATGAGGAAATGTGACTCAAAATAGACATTTTACATTTGAACTGAATTGCAATATATTTTAAAGACCTGCTGATACTAAAATAGACTTTTAAACTTACAGAAAAATAGACTGATTGGGAGACAATTTTAGAAGCACGTCATACCTGATCATGGTCAATGTCTGCATCACCCGTTATCACAATTCGCTTTTCAATTCTTGTCTCTGAAATGCCTCCTTTCACTGTCTTAAAGGGGGAAAAAAAGCAACTAAGGCCTCAAGATACTGTCAAAGGAAGTTTACTGCTTTTTCCCCCCTATGGGAAATTAGAATGTTTTTGCCTCTATGTTCCATGCTTTTCTTTTTAAAGGCAGCTTGCTAAATGCAGAATGGTTAGTCCACATTTAAATAATACATATGGTTGATATGCTGTTTAATTTTCAGAATACCAAATGAGAAAATGTGCAATATGCATGTGCAATAGCAACAAGCTAATGATCTCTCTTTCATAATGTTTTCTCTCATAACGTTTAATAGAAACTGCATCGTAAACAACACTTTTTGGAATTTATTGGACAGATAGTTCACTGGATGTTTAAAAAGTGGTATCTATTTATGCTGAAGATACAATATCCTGAAAAGCGCATTAATACATACAATTTGGATATGTGCCCAAGTAATGGTTTAAATGTTTTTAACATAATGGAGTTAAAACTTAAAGATGTCAGTGTGCTGTTGAATTTTAGTCCTAAAATTTGGAATCAGTTTATAAAGAACTTTGGATCAATTTTTAATTTATTCTTTTTGTATTGCATTTTAAAGTATTAAAATACATTCTTAAAAAGAGACTAAGCCATAAAAAGCATACCTAACTATGGCTTCTATTCCATGGTCAACAAACGATTACTTTAGTTGTTTAGCTCAGATATTTATATGTTTAATAATAAACCCATGCCTATATTGAATAAAACAAATTTATGATACACCTACTTTGGTGATATGTGTAGTAGTTGTAGTACTAGTAGTTTCAGAAGTAATAGTCTGTGCACTCATTAGAACTCCTGGTTCAGAATCAGCACTAGAATCCACCTAAGGAAAAAATCGTATGAAATGATAAATGCATTCAAGATTGGAGTTATTTGTATAAAGTTGGCAAACATTCTACTATGTAGTAGAATTTAAATAGTTCATTTCTTTCAATAGTCAAATGCAGATGGAATTGTCAGTTTGTTTAGGACTGAAAACAAGATGGAAAAAAAAATACTAGCAATATTGTATCCATCTTTTATTCTTCAACCTATCTGTCAATTCAATTCATTATGAAGATATTTTTCATGTATTCAATATTTTAATATTATACCAAAAACTTTTTCAATCAGTCTTTAAAAATGTTTATATCATAAGAACAAAACTTTTTTTGCAACATTACCGAAATCTCTTTTTTTGAATACAATAAGATTGGAATGATCTTAAACTATTATCAGAGGGTTCTTAGCCCAAATGAAGTTTAATTTTTTTACATATGTTGCCCTTGTCACCAATCTGTTAGTTTGAGTGCAAATTTTATTGTTCATAGAATATGCTTATGTTATTTCAATCGTTTTATTTTAGTACCTTACCTCAGATGATTCATATGTAATAGTTTTTGTTTCAGTATGGACAACAGGTACTTCTTTCACAGAAATTTCCAATTTCTCTGGACCTGTAGAAGCACTGCCAAAACTGACTGCCTCAGTCTTTACAATGGGTGACTGTTCCAATGAAATGTAAACATAGGACACATTAAAATTGCTTAATTTTCTAGTAATCCAGAGTAAAATGTAAATGAATGCCCTTGCCTAACAAGAAGTATCTTAAAAGTACATAAGCTTATAAACAGCATTTTTACCATTATTTAGATCTAAATTGAGAACATATTTAAATAGCATATATATTTTTTCATTTAAAGCTTAAATTTATTTTGCTGTAGCCCAAATTTACATAAGCTTATTTTCCTTTAAATAGTTAAAACAGGGTTGAAGTCATGAAAAGATTGCATATATGGCAGTTTACAATTGGAACATTCCAGTTGGGAAGTGTTTTCAGTTTTGAAAGTAGATAAGATAAAGAAACAAGTAATGATTTTTTCCATGAAAGATTATACTTCACTCTTCGCTGATAAAATATGTTCTAGTATCAGCATTAAGCTGTATTACTTAGTCCAAAATGCTTCTTAAAGAGTGCATATGATGCTAAAAAGTAAATAAAAAGAAAAAAATAAATGTAAAAACGAACGTTGCAATAAACTTCAAGATGCCATGCTTGTGAAGAAGCATTGAGTTGCTTCCTGGTTAATTTTTAAAATGTTCAATGTGATCTTCAGAGAGTCCCAGGAGTTAAAGGAGAAGGCAAACTTTGTTTTAACATCTGCATGTATACCAGTTGGGAGAGATGGAAGAAAATGAAGCAGCAGAAATCACTATGAAAGAGAATTTCTGCATCCTGTCTTGGATGTACATGCCTTCTAGATGGACTATGTGCTATTTTATATAAGTTAGACATTAAGTCTATATTCACACATCAAGGGAAGCCCTGGCTGTAACTGCAACTACAGTTATTTAGGCTGCTAGCCTTAACCATATAGTAGCCATGTCGCCACATTTAAATCTCATACTAAACCAAACTGACAATTAATGAAAAGGACAAATTGAGCTTGCAAGCCATACAAGTGAAAAACAAATGCATGTGAAGCTTCCTTAGGAAACAAACTGCTCACAGTAACAATGTTAGTGGCGCTGCATAACTTCCTTAAAGAAGTATACAGTAGTTTATCTTTTTGTTCAGAATCAGCAAACCAGACACGTTTAATTACCTCAAAAAGAGGTTTGCTTTCTTGCGTATTCAAAATATAGGCTGATTTACTTTGCTCCTCTTGTAGATCATGAGAAATAGTAGCAGTTTCTTCCTGTTGGATTGCAGTTTTTTCCTCTTTAGCCCCCTCAGTGATAGCAGAGCCCTCTTTCCCTTTAATGCTAGAAGCCACATGAGATATTGTCTGTGCTGTAGCATCCAGCTGAAGGCCAGCCAACTTAGCAGCATCCTCACTTGCATGCAAACTCATCACATGTTTCTCCTTGACTATTAAAGATTCCTGCACAACCTTCTTGGTGGCCTCCTGCTGTTGTTCCTCTGTTTTCTTTTCCTGATCAGTGTGTGTTTCTGTTCGCTGCAGGAAAGGCAAGTTAATATTAAAAGCTAATGTGTAAAATCTACAATTAAAAGACCATCAAACATGACCGAGGGTTTGTTTTACATGCTTTTGCTTTCTGTACAGGTGATCCGAGTGCTCAGAAATTCCATATGATTTCTGTTATAAAGATTTTGAAGAGACCTCAGTTTGAAGGGCAAAATGTGATTTGGATTTACACGTGGAATGCTTCAACTACTTGTTAAAATACAAAATGCTTCAGAAGTACCTTAAACCAAATTAGATCACGCTGTAGCATGGTCATATGATCAGGAAAAAGATGTGTAAGTATACCTGACACGTACATTCACATCTTTGCATGTTCCAAATTATATTCTGCCCTTTAAATCTGGATATCTGCATATCGCTAATAAATACGAAGTCCAATTTTATCTTTCATACACTTAAATTCTATCTCAAGAATAACAAACTGACTACTACCTCCCATTTCTGAATTTCTTCAAGTTTAAATGTATAGCTTTAGGAAGAAAAAGTACTCAGCATGTGCATTAATGTTTTCCATACCGTTCCTAAAGATACTTATGTGCAAAATAATAAAGGTAAACTCAATGTTACTATAAAATAATACCATGACCCATCAAGGGATAATCATTAAAATCTAAAGATTAATCAGATGGCCACCTGTGCCCAGCTATGTGAAGTAGTTGTAACCCCTCCTATGAACTCAGTTGGTTTTCTTGCAGATTCTATTAATGTGAAGATACCAGAACCATCCAAAGATTTTTCATCGGAGAGTTGTTTTGTCTAAACAGACAGAGAAATATATAGTCATAGGCATATGGACACAGAAAGCGAAACAGACACACACAAAGTTTATGTTAATTGACACAAAGACAAAGAAAGGAGGAAATGTGGCAGGGTTACAAAGAGAAAATAATGGAAAATAAATTAGCACAAGTCTGTACCGAATATAAGTAGTAATCTACACAAGCAAGTGGTTAGGACTAGGGTTCTGCTGGTCTTGTAAAGCATTATTTTCTCTTCAAAAACAAGCAATAGCAGCATACTACATTTCAGTAAGACTGATCTTTAGTTTAAATGCCTAATGTCAGCTTTGTATTGTGTTAAATCATGAAGAAATAATAAAAAAGCTGGGTTGGCTGTTGTCAAAATAAGGCCAAGCAGCAAAAGGACTAAGAGGCAGGGTAGTGCAGAAATTGTCTAAAAAAAGTCATGCTTTAATTGTAAAACTGGATCAAAGTTGTATGTTACCACTACTTTTGATGCTGATGACTCAGTGACATAGTGAGCAGTAGCAATAGTGAAAGGTGGCTCTCTGCCATGTTTCCTCTCAGGTTTAGTTTTCCAACCAAAAGTCTCTCCTTTCTGTTGTTCACTCTCAAGCGATTTCTCAGCTTTGGCTGTCTGTACACTTCCCAGAATCTTGGGCAACTGCAAATCTTCATCTGCCTTCCGTATTTTCTTCACATTTTCTTCTTCTGGACTTTGTAGTCGGGAGTCTGCTTCTTTAATTGGTGTCAAGGACTCAGAGACCCTCCTTTTGGCATCAGATAATCTTCTGGCTTTCTCATCAGTTACTGGTTCTAGAATTTCATATTCTGCTACTATAGGAATGACTTTCACAGATTCTGGCATTGCCATCTCTGTGTTTTGAAATGATGGCAGGACCATTTTTTCTCCCTCTTTTACTTTAGTGGTCATGGTTACAATTTTTCCAGAAACAGTATCATAGGATTTTCCTAAGGTATACATTTTCTGTTTATTGTCATCTTTTGAAAGCAAGTCACCTTCCAAGTCCTCAAAGCTCTGTATGTCAGTGATACTGTGCTTTAAAAGCTCGGGTGGGATGTCACCAGTTTTACTGCTCATAGTCATTAATTTGTATGTCACAATGGTTTTCGATTGACCATCAACTACCTCAATGGGTACTTTGTCTACAATAACCCAATCCTCAGTGCCCTATATTTGAAATATAAAAACTCAATTAGAACAACTAAGAGGTTACTTCTATTATATGTCAGGAAGCTAAAATATTACACCTTTTTGGTGATTACAGTAACTACCTTATTAACAAACACATTTCTAAAGTCTTTTCATAACCCAGAAGGCAAGATGAATATTTCAACTTGTGACAACTAAGCTTAATACATAAATACAGCAAAGGGCACCATACTAGCTTAATATTTTTACACATTTTTTTAAAATGCTAGCTAGGGGGTGAAAATAATTTAATTTTTAATTTTCTTCAACACAAAACACTGCTGTTTTAAGTGCAAAATAGAACTGTTTGGAGCATTAAATACTCCCAAAACATCTGAAGATGTAGCTGAATACTTAAAGCCCAGTTCTGTGAGGTTATGTGCTTGAAACAATTTAAAATATTTTACGAATGAAGGCGAATCATTCTGCTTATTAAAATATTAAAATATTTTGTACTCTCTAAAATACTGCAAATGTTACAGAGCAGTGTTTATCCAATTGTTCACTACATAATGCATTTTATAACTTTATATAAATAATCAACACATTATACTCTGAATATTCAATTGCAAGCATATGCTGAACCATCAATTTCATATACTTCTAAGAATATGTATTTAATAATATTTCCTGAGTGACAGTCCATAATGTTACTAATCAAAATGCATGGTGCAGCTTGCCACTTTCCTTAACATTTAGTTTAAAAAAAGAGATAAAAGCAGGTGATTAGAGATAGAATTACAATGAAAAACAGTAAACACTGGGATCCCCTCTAATATTCCAGATTTGAGATAGAATAATTGAAAATACAGATTTTCTAAAAGCACCTCAAGATTTTGCTGTCTGTATAATCATATGCCTTGTAGAGGTAATGGTGAATTGTTTTTTCTTTCGCTCATTTCTCCTCATTTTAAAAATGATTTATAAAAGTTTATAGGTAGGATTGCCTTAATACTGTTCTTCCCCTTCTTTCCTGAATGCATACATGGAAATACACTAGACAATCTTGGAAATGTTTATTAGCATTTCCAGTCCGCGTAATATTTCCATTCAGGCCAAAAATGCATCTTCTGAATTCTATCAAGCTATACAGGAATAAGTGAAGTGCATTCACCTGCAAAATCCTACCCTATTTCTATATAAACATATTTATGTACAGACTTGATTCTTGCTGTCATTTCTGAAGATTCTGCCTGCACAATGAAAATAGCACACGTAAGAATGAAGAAGTTCAAGTAGTATTTTGATTAGCATGCTTCTTTACCATAAACACATCTGGAAAATGTATTTGCTACAATAGTAGAAGCAAATCTGATTTTTTTTAAAAAAAAATGCTACAGTGAAAATGGATTCTATAGGCAGTTGATATTGCTTGTTATTTTCACTGAGATGTTTAAATATGTATATATGCAGATGTCCAGAGAATCAATGATGAGATTCTAAGCTCTGAGAACCTAAAATGCAAAGAAATCTGGAAACAAACCTAAATCAGAAACCTTTTTGATATAGTAACCAAACCTTTAAAAATGCACTGCCAAAAGAAATGTGATGTATTTATCAAATTATCATTTGAAGATGTAGCATCTTTCGATAATAAAATGTAAATTTTCCTCTTTACCTGAGAATCAAGATGTGTCATGCTTTCCTTCTGTAAAAATATACGTTTTTCAGATTTTTGTTTATCTTCTTTGGTCTAAAGGATAAGATGTCTATCAGTAAAATCCATGAGAAGGTTGTTGGAGTAGAGCAGTGGTTCTCAACCTTTTTAATGCCGTGACACTCAACTGGTCGTAAGTCGAGGACTACTCAACCAGTTGTAAGTCGAGGACTACTCAACTGGTGCAGCACCGTTTGCAGAATGGGACTTTTGGCGGGCTCAGCAGGGCAGAGACAGCCTGGACAATTCCTATTGGCTTTTGAAAGCCAATAGAATTAGACTCTATTCAAGAGAGTCTATTCTATTGGCTTTCAAAAGCCAATAGAATAAAAAGGAGTAGCACAGCTAAGGAAAGGGGGAAAAAAATGGCGGACTGCATTGTTTGGCGACCCCCGTGAAATGGCCGTTCGACCCCAAATGGGGTCCCGACCCACAGGTTGAGAACCACTGGAGTAGAGAACCTTGAAAAACAGGCAGATAAGCACTCACCTCGTCAGGCACAAGTGGTTCAATCATAGGGGCTTCTTCATGTCTTGCAGCAAGCCGGACTGGTGATGTTGAAAGTCTCTTTTCCCATTCATTAGTCCCTGAGATATCTCTAGTGGTTTCTAAGAATGTCCGTTTCAGCTCACTTATATTCGTCTGGTGTTTTATCAGATCTTCCTGGGTTTTATCTAGTTCCTGGTTTTGGAAAGAGGAATGCAGCATTTTTTTTTATATGTTAGCGTCTCTGAATTGACACAACAGGAAAACAAATAAATTTTTGAAGTTAATCAGCAAAAAAGCCTCGATGAGATTAGCTCTCACAGCACTAACACAACACTCTTGGGAAACTGGTGTTTTAAATGACAGGTGTACAGAAAATCTTAGGACACTTCACACATAACAATGTGGCAAGGGCATTTGCCACTAGGTAGGATTCCTGTTAGGGGTTGCCAGCCAATCCAAACTCCCTGCCAACTGAGCCTATATTAATATGCATTCATAAGCACCTGTGCTCTGTACATAGCTCTGTATGTGGAAAACATTTCCTGGGCACACTTCAATATGCAATGTGTAAAGTAGTCCTCATTCATGTGAGCATCAAATACTTTTAAGAGAGTCATAGTTCACACACATTCTAGAAACAGACTTTGCAACAGTTCTAAAAAAACAGTATAACAGAAAATCCTAATCTTACAGGATTAATAATTTGATTTATTTAGCAAGTAAAAAAATGCACATATCATGCATCATATACAAATTCACAGCTTAACCACTATATTTAAAACACATAGAATACATGCACTAATATATACCCATACCAACCTCTAACATAAGATTACTATGTTTGATATACACATTTTCACCCTGTATGCGCTTAATCAGACTATTCTGAAAAAACTGAAAAAGAAAGGGAAACGTGAGGACCACAATATTCAAAGAATATAAAAATGCTGATCTAAGTAATGTTTGTAAGTATTGTGGGAATATAAATAAACACAAGAAGTTTAGCTATGGAGAACAACATATACACAAAAAAGCAAGGCATTCTTTCACTTGCCTGTGCTTTGAGATCACCATCTTCCTCCTGATCTGACTGTTTATGTAGGAAAAAAACCAGAAAATATTATCTTACTAATAAAAATCATTTAATAGGTATAATAATCATCACAATGTTTTTAAACAGTTCATACTGATCAAATGAACAACCTATTCAACGCACTGGCATCTCTGCTGGCATAAACCTCCACCCAGATGCATCTGTTTTAAAAGCTATCTCAAAATGTTTTGGGAGCAGGCAAAATGTATATATAAACAGAGATAACTGAAATTAGTGGAAAACTTTTTCATCTAGAAACTATTTATGCACTGTCATAGGACATACCCCCATATGGCATAGGGCCTGGTTACTTAAGGGAGAGCCTGTCTTCCATAGCACCTGCTTGGCCAATTCAATCCTACAGTGTTTTCATTACTAAATGGTATCACCTATGCTAAAATTCAGATTATCTAAGGTATATGATATATTCTTTGACAACAAATTCAGAGCAACAGTACACACCTCTGTGGCAGTGGTTTCACCATCTGCTGCAGTGTCAGTTCTTTCACTGTCAGTCTGAGTTATATAACAGGTTCCAAGAGGAAAACAAGAATAAGAAATAAACCCAATTTGTAATTAAACAAAATCATAGGTTGAATGGTCAAATCTACATTCTCGTGAACTGCACTATAATCATTTTTCAGACAAATGATAATTTAAAACAAGCATAATCCAAAACAACAGATCAGACAGCATTAAGATCAAGGCATACTGTACAAAGTAGTGGCTTTTGCGTTACACAAAATCATTAAATTGCGAAGCTTGAAGGAACACAAGGATCACCTAGTACAATTCTCTGCAATATGCAGGAACATCAATTAAGCCATCCTTGACGTTGGTTAGCCAAACAAAACCTAATCAGAAAAAGACGATTTTTTCTTTATTTTTTCTAAAGAGAGCCACTGACTGAAATAAGCAACAAAATGTGCTAACTATAATCTAAGTATAATTTAATGGAGGGGGGGGGGAGAGAACCCTGTACATTTTATAATGAGACATTATAAAAATATTGTTCTATAATTTGTTCCTTTAGAGAAGGAAAATCTATTTTAACAGTCCCTTGATTTTAGCCCCTTATTTGCACAAAGATTTTTTCTCACATGGTTTTAAGGCTGTCTGCATTAGCAAAGTTTTAACAAACATACAAACAGAACAAATTTAGCTTGAACAGAATTAACATTTCTCAACATTTAAATCTGATCTGGCTGCAAAAGAATCTTTTTATGTAAAGCTATATTTTCTATCAGTGTTTATAAAACATAGCATTGTATTTTTAAGTAACATTTAGAAAGTACAAATGATCAAAGTAAACAAAGCACAGCATTATCCATCCAGCATTAATACATCTAATATGTATCATGAACACTTTGTTTTTATTAATACTGTCTAACAATGAACAACAAAGAGATTTAAAAAATACTTTAAAATAAATGAATAAAACACTGAATGGGGTTATTATGAAAAAAATCAGGCTATGAGCTATGACAGTTATACAATGATCCAAGGGACTGAAATATGTTTGAAAATATTCATTTAAGACAGAGCGGTTATTCTGTATAGGTAGGTAGATATATAACACGCAGTCCAAATGTTTTGGACTATAACTACACAGTCCCTTGCCATGCTGGTTGGGACATATAGGAATTGAAAACCTACACAACTGGACAGTGTCAGATCACCTAGTTCTACAGTCGTTCAGAACTTCTTCATGAGCAAATGATGTAATATGTTAAACATGAAATTGTATCAATTCATCTTTTGGGTTGGAATAACAATCAAAATAACTAAGTTTACCTACAGGTAGTCCTTGCTTAATGACCATTTATTCAATGATTGTTTAAAGTTAAAATGTCACTGAACAAATGGTAGTTACGACTGGTCCTCAAAGTTACAGCTGCTGCAGCACCCCCACGGTCATGTGATGAAAAGTTGGGCATTTGGCAGCCTGCCCACATTTACGACTGCTATGTGAGCTTCAACCCACCCCACCTACCCATTTCTGCCATTTTGGTTGCCATCCCTGCTGACCTTCATGAACTTCTTCCTCCCATTGCTAACAAGACACCCCTGGCCAAGGTATCTGCTGGCCCATCATGCTTCTGTGAGGCCTCCATGAACAGCAGTATTGTTAGTTTAATTCTCTTCTTATTTCAATGCAGGAAAAAGAAGTATCACATTCATTATGTTTACAGGTAGTCCTAGCTTAATGACCAGTTGCTTAACAACCATTTGGTTATGACTTTCCATCTTCAAGGTTATGACTGCCACATCTCCCCTGCAGTCCTATGATTGCATTTCAGATGCTTGGCAACCAACTTGCATTTATAACTGGTTGCAATGTCTTGCTGTCACATGACTGCAATCTATGACATTTTTTTGCTTGTTTCTAGCAAAAATGTACTTCCAACCCTTTTGTGTTCATGTGGCTTGCCACTAGAACCATAGGTTCTTACTACATTTATCATTTAGGTATTCACATTCTTTCATTTATTGCAACACCAGTTCTTCTACACCTACTCTGCAAACTGAGTTTCTGTCCAATTCAGATAAACATTTTCTTTACTTTTCCAATGAACTGTGTTAAGTGGGATCCATTCAGCCTTTCCCCAGAACAGTGGTTCTCAACCTGTGGGTCGCCAAACAACGGGGGTCGCCAAACAACGCAGTCCACCATTTTCCCCCCCTTTTCCTTAGCTGTGCTACTCCCTTTTATTCTGTTGGCTTTTGAAAGCCAATAGAATAGACTCTCTTGAATAGAGTCTAATTCTATTGGCTTTCCAAAGCCAATAGGAATTGTCCAGTCTGTCTCTGCCCTGCTGAGCCCGCCAAAAGTCCCATTCTGCAAACGGTGCTGCACCAGTTGAGTAGTCCTCGACTTACGACCAGTTGGGGGGTCGCGGCATTAAAAAGGTTGAGAACCACTGCCCCAGAAGATGAAATGCACTGAATCATGTTTTTGTAAAATATAAATTACAATGATGCCAGTGTGTTCCAACCACACTGATCCAGAAGGCTGATCTGGCTGTATCTAACCTGCTCATAATACTGTATATGAAAATTCTCCATGTATATTCCAACTACCTATATCTGTTTCTTTTATCACTCCTCTGCCAATTCTATAATGGCGTTGATTTCTTCTTTATCTTTTTAGTATCTCCTGTTTCAGCAACCTTCTTTCCCAGTGTTGAATCCTTTCAAGTTCGAAAATAGAATCTAGTCTATCAGGAGCAATTAATCCCCAAAGGATCATTGCTTTCTTATCGATTTCTTCAGATGTTTATCATTTCCAAAGTTGTCCATGCATTAAAGTGCTTTTAAATCTTCATACAGTTCAATGGCAACCAACAGTATATATAAAAGAAGATGGATGGAATCTACATTTTTTGTTGCCTTGCTGCTGTAGTTTTAACATTAGCCTGTCTCTATTGCAATTTACCTTGTTCATTCCAGAAAGTATTTGATTTGTACACAAAGTAGATTGCATTTGGTTTTATTACAACATTTGTTTAGTGCTGATGAGCCTATCCAGATGTTTTTGCATTATCCTAAAATGCTCATGACATCTGTGCAACAGTAATCTGTCCCAAAATATCCCTGGGAAATGCCTTCTTTCAGCCATGGAAAGACTCATTTCTTCCTTTTTACAAGGCTTGATATCCTTCCTCATCTTTACTCAAGATCTTCTTGTAGCATGAATATGACCCAGAAAGTCTTGTTATCGGTTCTTGTTTTCTTATGTTGTTTCAAGATAACCTACAACTCTTAGCACAATATTCCATCTGACAGGAAATCTCAGGATTTCCATCCAGACATTATACCACTTGACACTGTAATTCCTACTGGCCTATCATTCTTACTAGAAGGCTTGCTGGTACTACAAACTGCATAGGAGCTCCTCTGTTAGATCTATATGGTTTTCTATGTTTGCCTGAGTGAAAACCATTCACATTTTATAAAATTAAGTGAGCTCTGGCTTTTTATGCAGATAAAATTGTTTTATTTTGCTATTCCCTCCTCTTTGTACTCAGCATTGAAAAACTATCTTCTAGTATCTTTTTACCCATTGCATTCAAGATACCAATTTAAAATTATCAAGGCTATTGGGTTCTATTGCCAAAGTTCACTCCACAAAAACAACTGCCTCTTTATTTGCTTCTCTTGACGTATTCCTTTGCTGTATTTGTACAAAGTAACTGCACAATCCCAGACATTTATCTTCACAATGCATCAGTATTTGTGCATTCAAATGCATTAAAGATACATTTGGGGAGATACCTGCACACATTTCATTTTTTTCTTAGCAGAGGTAGGAGCCTCACATCAAAGTAAATCTGCTAGTTACCCATACATAGCAAATACACACATACAAAAAAGGTTGTTTACCCATGATTATGGATTTTCAAAAGTTCATCAGTGCATTCCTATGAACCTCTTCCATTTCCCTAGCAAAAGTTTGTCCTGACCTTGAATGCCATGCTGAATTGAGAAGAGACTGGAAGCTGTATCCAGAAGTTGGCAAAATAGCGCTCACCTCTAGCAAACATACTCCTTGGCTACAGAATTCCTAGTAGTGTCTTTGTTCCAGAGAATCATTCATATGTATAAATATAAAAACTACTACTCAAAGAACCAGAGTTATAAAAAGCCTATTCCTTTTTGATCACTCTGCTTTGGGTTGAACTAGACTTATATTCAGATGCAAGGAGAAACACTACGTCACCAACACCAGTCCTTGCATGATCTTCATTAAACTGACTGTTAAAGACTAGGATAACACTGAGACAGCAAGGGGTGTGGGAATATTAGCAGCTCTAAAGTACGTTCTGGGATGCATGTGGAGGGAAAAATTGCCAGATTATCATTTACTTCTTTTTAATTTTAATTTACAGTATTTTATGACCAGCCAAGTCCAAAATAAATTTCCTAACCAATTATTTGTGAACAAGCTAAGCTCCCTTTTCAGTGGGAGTGATTTTGTGAGATGATCAATGAAATGCTCTCAAATCCAAATGTGCTTGTTGACATAAAATGTTATATATTTCTGGTGTGTACGGTTAAGCTATAAAATTACAGCATAAATTGCTTTACTAAGAACCAGGGCTTTTTTTCTCATAGAACGCCCAAAACGGAGTTTCGGCACCTTTTTGGGATGGAAACTTATAGGGTAGGCAAGGCGGTTGTATGACATGTGTGGGTTCTGGCACCTTTTTTTTTTTTTTAAGAAAAAAAGCACTGCCAAGAACAGTTGTTAAAGTTGTTTTAAATAAAATTTGTACTGATATATTTAGTATGATGATATTTATAACAACCAGTGTATCTGTTGGACTAAACTCCCTTAATTCCTATTAACAGGAGGATGCAGTTGAATATATCTACAGCATAAAGAATGAAGGCAACAGTTTCAAATAAATAATATAAAAGAGCTGCTTATGTCACTACAATTTCATTAAAACAACTAAATCAATTTATTTATTTTGGGGCACAAAGTTTATTTCCATTTAGTGATTGTATAAAATAAAAATTAATTTTAAAACTAATATGCTGTAGTTATTTGGGAATAAGTCCTATTAAATAGAAATATATTGTAGTCAGCAATTAAATTGTTAACAATTAAAGCATTTCTTCACTCCAAAATAATACTTTCCTGTTAATCAGTATGGCAGTTGAAGATTTACTTTTCTCAGAATAGAATCAGCCATAATTCTACAGGTTACTGTACAAATCCTAAATAAATTGCAAGGAATATATGATATACCTATCCAGTTTATCTCTTTTTCTCTAGGTGCCATCATATCAATATGACCCAGCACTTCATGTCTTGTCTTTTTACTGGCTATAATTCTAGGTAGCTTGTTGCTACCTTTTAAAATTCTAAATTTCTCAAGCATCCTTTTTTAACCATTTTTACACGAGAGAACATTTTCAAATCCAAAACAGTTACTTATTATCTAGCTGTAATTATTTAGAATGGAGTTCCTTCTGTTCTTGCAGAGAATTTTATTGCATAGTGCTGTATGTATTTAATCAGAAGTAAATCCTATTCAATTCAATGGGTTGTACTCCCAGGTAAATTGGTTCAAGACATGGAGGTAATGCAGGACTCTAAAGTGAGATTTTAAGCAGTTTTAAGGGACTTTCCCCCGAAGAAAATAATTACTAGATCACTGACCAACTTGAAGTTTGTTGGAACTACTACTGGATTTAAAAACAGACATTTTTCCTAGCTTGCTATATTAATAACTGCTGTGTCTTGTTTTGCTGATGTAATGCAGACATGCCAAGATTCAAAAGAAAATATCATGCAATATGTCCAAACAAGAGAAGCACCCTGGATTAGGCACAAATCGGTGTAATCTAGCAGACAACTGTTAGTCCTGGTTTAATCACAAGCTTGGTTCATATATAATAACATGATTTGGTGTTATAATATTCATGCCTTTCAACCCAGGATTGCCAATTAGTTTGCTGATCTGAAACTCGTGTTTTGGTACACACAGAACCATGTATTGGCAAATATTAAAGCATATTATAATTTCCACACAAACAAAATAATTAACTGAATTGGTATAAATAAAGTTTAAAGCAAGCACAAGTCTAACCGCATAGTTCCAAATCATGATTTGACACTACATCTGAACCAAGCCAATCTAAAGCAAACAAACTAGAAACCCATCCTATCCCATTCCAGCTCAACTTTACTTAGAATAAATCTTATTGATTTCATTTAAGCTTACTGGCAGGCAAGCAAGTTTGCTTTGTAATGAATTATAAAATATGGTTCCAGATTATTATTTGGGTTGATTGGTAATTCTAATTAAACAATTTGCAAAATGCAAATGTTTCTGTTCAAAAACTTGTAATTTACTTAAAAAGTACTTGCATTTGACACTATTTACTGTATGGTACATTCAGTTTTCAAATTTTATGTTAATGGAAAAAAATAGTTTGTATGTAGGAGACAGTATTTTGTCTTAAATAGGCTTCATTAATCCTGTAAAAGACTTATCGCTAGACTAGAATACTTCTTTGTTATACATGCTTAAGCATGTTCTTCACTTTGATTATAGGTCTTATTAAAATAAAATGCTCTAAGCAACTAATTTTGGCAGTAAGGGAAGTATAATATGTAGCATCTAAGAAATAGAAACACCCTCCAGTTGTGCTCTACTCCTGTGTCTGTATCTATGCAACTTTGTGGGCTGAAGTAAATGATAGGCACAATTTCCTGGCTATTCTTCAATAGATGGGATTATGCTAAAAAACTCAGATTGGATCTATGGTACTCTCCTCTCCAGTATACTTTTTGACATTAAATCCCTTTTAAGGATGGAAGGGTAATTTGGAACTTCATTTTCCTATTTATCTAAAGTGTTATAATTTTTGAGCTGGATGCAAGTTCATAACTATTTACTTTCAAGGAGCAAAAAACAAGCAGAATGCTTTCTGAGTTCACAGCTGAAAACCCAAAACTCAGGATTGTATTTGAAATAAACTATTTGAAACTTTCATTACCTAGAAGTAATTTGTAAAAGTCATCATTTTATACACTTTGTGTTGTGCCTAACCCTGGGCTCAAGCTACACTCTCAACACAACAAAAATTTAAAAAAAATCTGAACATATTGGCACAGACAAAAATGAGGTTCTGAAAGGACTACTGGTGCAGCATTCTAACACTGTTTAGGACTGAAACAATGAACACACAAAAAAAAGTGTGTTCTGTGTCGAGGTACACACCTCTTCGTCTGAACTGTCACTCAGGTCATTTTCAAGTGAAGCACTCAAGGAGGCCGCCTTGGGCTCCAGGAAGCAGAGGCACATAGCCAAGGGAAAGGAGAGAGTGAGAGCATAGGGTACTGAGAAAGAAGCAGAAAGCAAAAAGAAAAAGATGAAAAGGAAACAAGGTACAAGGGAAGGTGAGCGAATGGGAAGGAAATGCTGCACACTTTGTGGCAGAATGTTTGTTTCAGACAGATTTGGAAAGGATAAGTAGCCATCGTCATCCAGGAGAGAAGGGAATGATTCTGGAAGTTGCAAGGAGAAAGAAAACAATGTTCCACCTTTTCTGGCCTTTTGCTTATAATTAAATGCCATGTCATGTTCCATAGAATAAGCTCTTCCTTTTCTGCTGAAGTTCAAATCAGTCTCATCCTGCTTTTGACTGGTGTTTTTTAATGATTCACCATCTAATAATTTTTTACTATTCTCCTTAAACCTCCTCCTATGGAGTTTTGTTGAAGATGCAAAGGGACTATTTGGTAAGGACGGCAAGGGGGGTAATGAATCAATGTCAGGCAAAAGTGACTGATGAAAAAAAAGATAGCAAGTGCAAGAGCAAAAGGACAAAAAGAAAATGATAATTGGTTAATTTCCTCTGCATATAAAAGTTAATTGCATCAAGTTAAAAGAACAAGCTTAATTGAATTAAATATACCAATTTCCATGCTGTATTCTATGAGGGCAGCCAGATACAAAGTCAACTCATCTGTTAATATACATTATTAATTATCTTATTTTAAAAAGTTCAACATACACATTTTGTGGTTAATTGCTACATTAAGTTTCTAAACTAGAAATTCTCAAATTGAAAGGTTCAAAATCACCCTACGAAGGAATGAAACTATATGGGCTATATGCCTCTTTCATGTATTAGCATATACACTATTCCCTTTTTAGCTCAAGTTGCTCTAATTGTACCTTCCTCTTTGGCATTCCAAAATACAATTTGGTATTTAAAAAAAAAAAAAAAGCAAGAATGCTACACAATCGGTTATTCTCTGAATCCATGACTGTAAATCTGTGGTTCATCACTCATTCTGCCATCATTTTCCCAATTTGATCACCACTGCAAAATGGATAAGGAAATGGAAGAGGACAATGAAGCAAACAAGTGAAAGTGTGAGTAATACTTCACCATTTCAAGTTTACTTTCCCAAAAATGATTTCTTTCTTTGTGGCATTCTGAGTCTTTAACCAGAAATTCTTATAATTCCCCACAATTCTTGAAGAACATTTGATATAAAACTTTGTATTACAAATTTCTATAAGATTTTGAACACGGAGGGGTATGTCTATGAAAATACCATACATTGCTGTAATGAAAACAACAGCAACTCCTTCCTCTATTAAAAACTTAACTAAGACCTCTTACTAAAATGGAACCACTAATTACCCCCCCCCCAAAAAAAACCAAGCAAAAGTTCTTTAGGAATAACAAAATAAAAACCTAACAGAGCAAGTCTTCTCCCACAGCCTACTGAAAACCACCCATGTTTACTGTTACAGAATGTTGAATATTAAAGAAAATGGAAGAAATGGAAGTTAATGCAGTATCCTAGATAGCTAGCTCAAACAAAAGAACTTAGATCGCAAAGTTCTGTTTTAAATTCCTTTAGTTCTAAACAAGGTCTACCTGAAAAATAATAAGCAAACTTATAAAATGAATTTACATCAAAGTATATCTTATTGAAATAGATCTGCTTCCAGAGAAGTCTGTATAGGAATACGGAATATTTTCTTTTACCTGAATGCCAGAATTTTCCTAATAGGCTACATTCACCTGTGTCTGAATCTCTCAAATTGAAGCACGTATAGTATCTTACATAAAAATTGTTAATGGAAGATAATATTCAGTGCTAGCATAAGCAACAGAACAGGAAGCCTATATAAATCCAACAATTTGTGTTTGCTCCTTGAATACGGACAATTATTTTAATTCTTAATTTATTTTTATGAAACAGCATCTGGATAATAAAGAACAAATATTTTCAAAATTTTCATCCATGGAGAATGCTTTTTGGTCTAATAATTAAGGCACCAGGCTTAAAACCAAAGACCATGAGTTCTACTCTCGCCTTAGTCAAGAAAGCCAGCTGGGTGTTTTTGGAATGGTTACTCTATGTCCATCCCACCCCATCTGGTTATTGTTGTGGGAAAATAGGAGGAAGAAGGTGTGTTGGTGGGATATAAATAAATAAATACAAAAAAATAAAAAAGAAATCTTATGCATTATAGAAAATTTCAAGAGGCCTTCTCAACAAGAACTGTCGATGCTAACCACAAAATCTAGTTGATTAATAAACAGTAGCAAAGACTTTCTGTCTCTTTGTTGCGAATCATTTAGATTTATTTCCCCTGGATTGTGCTTTGATTTATAAATTAACTTTGTAACTAATTTATAAATGGAATGCAAAGTTTGGGTTAGCAATTTAAAAATTCTAAATGACTTGGAGCGTTGCTATTGGGAAAATTGTTTTTTGATAAAAACATGACAGTCTTTTAAGATAAGCTGCTCCAGAACCATAATCTTGTAACAATACTGTCTATAACAACACCCTTCCCCAAGAAATTAGGTTATTTTGTTCATATGAATATTCCACAAAGTAGAAATTTCAGCAAATGCTTTACTATATCAGTATTACCAACTGCTAGATTTTTCCCCCCTGGTTTTTGCTGCTTCAAATACTATGAACATTTGTAATAACTGATTATTGTTGTTAATGGTTTTATGTTTTGCAAATCATGAACTATTCCTTTACAGAAGACAAAAGTTATTTAAATATTTAAGTAATCCTACACATCCAATACTCCAGAAATAGTGTTATGGGGAGGTTAGATATAAATTAATCAAACTGATTTTCAGATTAAATTGTCCACTAATTAATCTTCTAATTAAGAATCCCTAACATCCCTAGAATAAAATTCTAGAACTCTTATTGATAGAGCAAAAACAAACAAATAGTATAAAGAAACAATCTCACTGACTGCAATGCATATAATATTTCACATGAGTGTTATATTTTTTATTGAAGGAGTTTCAGGTGTGCATCCTGTTACAGAGGAACTGGTGAACTGTGGCTCTCCAGATGCTGCAATTTTAGAATACCTCACTATTGATTATGTTGGCTAGGCCTGCTAAGAGTTGATTCAACAATATTTGGAAAATAAACATTGTCCATGCCGTTGTAATGGGCATTCCCACTTCTATACTTCTGCATACCAGTTTCAGAAGGACAGAGGTTGAAACCAGCCAGCAGGTAAGGAAAGTTTACATATTTTTTGATACAGTCACACTTGAAGATATTTGCTCCTAAATGCAGCTATATAAAACCAAAGTAGATTGGGTCCTAAAATAGAAGATATAAATCCCTATTTATATAGGAAAATATTTATTTCCTATTTTCTTACTACTTATCTTGGTATATTTATTCTGAGCCTCTTTTCTCATATCATTTAATCCCTTAATAATATAGGTATAATTACTACATTGTGGCATCTGTTTATTGCAAAGGGTGAATACCTTAAGCACTTTAAAGTTATATATTCCAACACAATTTCAGTAGGAATTTTAACTAACAAATAAAAATAAACATCGTGGTTGTCAAAAATCTAAATATACATTTGAAGAAACATGTAATCCCTAGAATATGCCATATTTCCTGCATATTATCACTTAGTGAACTTTAATTGCCAAATAAAAATTAAAAGAGCATTCAATTGGACATGAAAAGCATTGTTACAGCAAGACAGTTCTTGCAATATAGTCTGCAATTATAAATGTCACTCTTCATTTTTAGCCTTTAATTTAGTGTTTCTTAACTTTGGCAACTTTAAGTTGTATGGACTTCAACTCCCAGAATTCCCCAACCAGACATCTTAAAATTGCTAAGGTTGAGAAACTCTGCTATAAATGAATGACAAATGCAACACTAAATAAATTTGTTTCTACTTATTTTAATAATTTTCTATATTTAAGAGATAAAAAGTCCTTTTATCAACTGAGTAAGTTTTTAAAAAGTGTGAATTCATAAATTTTGTGAAGATACTGCAACATCAGCCTATCTACCTTCTAATAACCAAAATAATTACTGTGATAATGTATACCTATCACACCTAGGCACTTAAATTTAACTTTTTCAATTCTCAGCTTTTACCTATGGTGATTGGGAATTCTGGGAGTTCCAGTTTGGAAGGACAACATTTTGTCGGGAAGGCTGGCCTACACACACAAAATGTGCCTATCTAAGCTGAGAGAGTGTATTCCTACTATATCTGAGGTGTGCTGCAAAACTGCTGGAAAACAATTGACTATGGGAGAAATATGTGACAAGCAAGATTATGGAAAAGTAAATCTGTAAACCTTTATAAAAGCATGTTGAAACACAGTGGGTACTTAACACCTTAAATTCTTGGACTCAAATGTCTAAACTGGGTGGACTCACATCCCAAACATTGATAAGCATTGATTTTATTGTACTAAGTGATACAATTATACTGACTTCTATGCCACTATATGTGTGTCTGTACAATATGTGACATACTATATAAGGATCTGGGACTAAAGCTAGTCTTTCTAGTCATAGCTGTTCATTCCGTACAATATTTTCTGAAGGTTTACCAACAGGCAATTTCTTTGATAATAGGAGACCTAGAATTAACATGATCTGGAGTTAAAAGTAATTTCAGATGAATTATGACAATAACGTAGAAGCAAACAATGCCAAAATACTGATTATAAGATCAAGAAAAAAGGAAGTTGTCTTATAATGACAAATAATTTAAAGGCAATTCAAAACACCAAATAAAATGCAATAACCCACGAAAAGAGTTATTTACATTGTAGAACATGTAGCATATTCAAAAGTGAAACATGTTCTCTATATAAAACTAAATTGACAGTGTTCATCGTCAAATTGACAGAAAAAAGCTACTGTACAGAATCACAAATTATTTATTACCAAATACTGGTGATTTGCCAATATTTCTTATGCTTTCTGTCAGCAAAATTGCTTAGTTGATAGAATTAAATTAAATATATAAAACTATACCTTAGTATCGTGCCGTATTGCTGAAACTGGAGTGCCTTCCTCTTCTTTCTTTTGTATCTGTTCGTCGTCTTTCTCTTCTTCTGCTTTCTTCTCTGGGGTCACAGTAGTTATCAAGTTTGTTTGAGAGATGCCCTTTGTTGTAGCGTACTGGCCAGTACCAACCTCTGCAGCAGACATAGAATCCTTCATGTACATTTCATGGTTTTCATTCACTGAGGCTAAAAGCAAATGCAACGTGAAGAGGTGAAATCTTAAACAGATGATTCATTAGGCTAAGTAAAACTATATTCTGGATTAATTATTTAATTTTGTGCATGCCTACCCAAAAGTAAATCTCATTAAATTCAATGGGATTTATGGCCAGGCCAGAGAGCACAGTCTTGCAGCATTAAGCAGTCTGCCAGTGAAATGGAAGCCTCATGTTTCTAAAACATGCAGAAACATAAATGCTAAATACCTATATAAAACAATACAATATGCATGTATGTATATGCATATACAACTACTGTATTAACGTCTGATATATATTCACATGCATGCAGATATTTTTAAATCTAGACTCTTCTTTTCTAAAAATTTGTCCTAGAATAAATAGCTTCAAAATAATAAAATTATCTGACCACACTGCACTATACTTATGTAGAGAACCTAAAGACGGTTAATAGACAACTTGAAAGTATTTTCTTAAAAAAAAATTAATTAGCAACCAGAGGCAATTAAACACAGTTAATTCAAACTGCAAACTTGACATGTGCTTGACATCTAGACTCAAAGAAGTATCACTAATTCACTGGAAAGAAAAAAAGATTTTGAAGAGTAAGTTAAAAAGTAATTTATAGAAAGGAAAAAAATGGCCATTTCACCACACCTTTATTATACCAACTTGAAACATGCTAAATTTACAAGGCATACATTAGGGCTGTACAAAATAAAGAGATATTTTACAAAGGCAGGATCAATTATAAAATAGGACCTCTGTATGTTCTGCCGAATGTTCCAAATACTTCTTCCAAATGCTTTGCACATAAAAATACAACAGCATTATTTTGTAATCATATACAAGTAGTTTTCAATTTATGACCACAATTGGGAAGAGAATGGTCGTTACTAAGCAAGATGGTTCAATGAAACACACACAATTTTATGACCTTTTCCGCCACAGCTGTTAAGTGCATCACTACAGCTAAGTGACTCATGCAGTCATTAAGGGAATCTGGCTTCCCCATTGATTGCTTATCAAAAACTGGCTGAGAAGGCAGAAACCTAAAATCTACAACAAATATAGTTACCAAGCACCTGAATTTTGATTGAAAGTCAACACCATTTTTAATTACTTGATCCATGAGAGCGTTTCCTTCCTAAGATTTTTTCTGATCATTAAGATACTGGGGGCTCCTGACTCTCCTGTCTGATTGTTTGGATCTTCTAGGAAAAGAAAACTCAGCACATCCTTTGGCAATCAGTTTTATTGACTGACAGCTCATATTCATCCCGAGGTCTAGTCTGGGCTTCCTTTCTTGTGATTTTAACCTGGTCCTGCCTTCTGAGAAAACAAGAGAATAATTCCATTCCCTCTTCTATGCGACAAGGTTTAAAGACAACTACCATAATTTCCCTTCCCTTAAATATCCACACCCTTTAACCATTTCTCACAGAACTTGTATTAAGAGTTCTTATTGTCATCATTTTTAAGAAAATAAAGTATGCATGCAAAAGATGAAAATTAGCTCTCTATAATTATGCAAGACATCTGCTCATACAAGAATGACTTTTCCATTCCCTCTTAATCTTCCAGGATGCCTCCTGAATTTTCCAGAATAGTTTTATAAGGTTTTGGCAAAATAAGCTGCAATGGGTGGAGAGAATTCAATCTGCCATCAGAAGTATGCTACTGGAAATATTTTCAATATTTCAATCTAAATGAGTTCTTTTCTGGTCTATGAAACAGGTGCAATTGACTTTAGTACATACAAGTCATTTAGGACGTACATAAAATAAAGAATTTAAAAAATCCGAAGAGAAGAAAACTAGCACAAAATATTCTTTTTGCTGTAATTTGTATTATGTAATAAAGTGGAAGCATAATGAATTTGTATATATGGAAAAACTAAAATGAACAAATGAATAAAAAAGTTTTTTTACATTTACAAGTAGTGAGATTCATGAATTCAAAGGATTATGAATCAGTACTTTTGCTGAATAAATCCAACTCTGATTATACACAAGTCATTTGGAGTTTACTGGAAAAAAAATCAGAATGTAAATAAAACTATGGCGTTGGAAAAAGCCACTTAGATCAATGACTCCAAACTTGTCTTCTGAGTAACAGTCTTTCCCAATCTGTAGGCTGTGACCTGCAGCGGGGTCACATAGCAATAAATGAAGTATTGCTGAAGAGTGCAAATTGTTTCCCAGCAAGTTTATCAGTTTGATGCAAAAAGTATGTTGAATTCAAAGGAAAGCTACAGTTCCAGAACCATTAATGAAGTCTTAATGTCTTTTTAACACATCTGCCTTTCAAAGGAAGACTAACCATACCTAAAAGGGACAGGGTCTCTATGCAAAGCTTTGACCCTCAGTCTGCAACAGAGTAAAAAAACTGAAATTGCAAGAATGAGGGGAGGATCTTCTAAGGCTGAGAGGAAAAAAACAGATGAGTTATGACTGTTATCTTGGTGCAGCTATGCTGAGAGAGAGAATGCCAAAAGCAACTTCTAACCTACTGGTGTTTTGCAAAATGCAGCATTTTAACAGTGGAGTGAGTGGGAACGAAAGAATTCACTTTTCTTTCAGTGAATAAGAGTTGGTATCTTCAAAATAAAACTGAGATTTTATCCTTTCCTTTTAATACATGGATTATTTCATTGGACTTTTTGATGCTGGATTTCTAAAGTTGTAAGTCCTATCACTGTTTTAATTATTACAATGACTGAAATTTAATTATTAATATGGCATATTTATTTCTGGCTTAACCACATTTTTATTCATGGAAAATGGAGTCACATAAAATTCAGTTTAGGGGGTCATGTAAATGCAGTTGGAAATCCCTTATAGTACAGAAACCCAAATTATTAAATTTAGTAATAAAAAAGACAATTCACTAAAAACTTTCAGAATCAAATCTGTTCCATTTCTGCTGTCCTTTAACTATTGGCTAAATGTGGTAGCTACTGTTTTTTTACTTGTCATCAGGGCAAGTATACTTATACCAATTTGTAACATAAAGAAACATATAGTAATTTGGATGGTATGTAATAAACAATAGAACCAATTTTCCCCCTATTGTATGGAAGAATGCTAACTACTAGTTTATTATCTTGACCAAAAATATTTTTGAAATGCAAAGATTAAGAATGGATAACTTTTGATTTTCCTTGATTTGTACTTTTTCCACATGTCACCTTTGACAATTTATAACCATTCACATGAAAATCTGCAGCAATTAAACTATTTCTTCTAAATATATGTTTGCCTAATATACATCAACTATTTTCTCTAACACAATCCCTTTTTAATATTATTCATTCAAATATAGTGATTTATGGAAGTATACAATATATGTAGCTAAGGGCTGAACCGTGGAGTCTTAAGTGCTCTCTGTGCCTAGTTGTTTGCTTGCAGATGTTTCACTACCCAATCTTAAGTGCTCTCTGAGCCTAGTTGTTTGCTTGCAGATGTTTCACTACCCAACTAGATAACATCATCAGTGCTAGTGAATATGAGGTTTGCTTTCTGTTTATATACAAGTAGTCCGGGACTTACAACCACAACTGAGCCCAAAATTTCTGTTTCTAAGCAAGGCAGTTGTTAAATGAGATGTGTCTCATTTTATAACTTTTTTTGACACAGCTGTTAAGCGAATTACTGCAGTTGCTAAGGAACTAATGCAGTCATTAAGTGAATCTGTCGAGAATTATCCATAGTTTGCCCTGTCAGAGCTGGTGGATGTTTCATTTTCTCCCTGATAGTTTCTTGCTTGTTTCTTTGTCTGGTGTTAATCCCTATTTATCTGGGTACTGGCTGATGGAGAGGAAGTGTTCTTGTTTTTTTATTTTCTTCTTTTGAATGGTATGTAAATGTGGTTTATCTATTTGTGTCTATTGATGGCTAATTTGTCTGAATGCCAAACTTACAGTAATACCCTAGGGTTTTGGATTTTGTACTCTCTGAATAATGAAAACTCCACCAACACTGGCAGGCAAGCCGGATGACATTGCCTAGTCAGGCAATGGAACATAAGCAAGCAAACATCCAAGTTGATTCACATTGTGATTCATTTTTGTGAATACTGGAACTATATCATAAAGTTTGGTGGGAAAAAACAAATACCATAGCATAAGGATATTCAATTTGCATATTGTGTCAGTCAATGTTAAAATACAAGCTGAGTACATTTATCATCCTAGTAATGATAGCTAAAGGACCCTAAAAAAAAAGGCACAGAAAGGGTAAAAATACAGTAGCAAGAAGAATAGTAGCAGCTAAAGAAACAAATGTGGAGGACTAAAGTTTTAGTCTTCCATAGCTTAAGAACTGCCACATGAATAAGCCAGAAACAGCGACAGGGCAAATATTCATTTAACGGGCATCTTATAATAAATGATATATCATGCACATACTTACATGTGTAATCCAAAGAAGCTCAGGGGACACGAGATTACAAGAAACTTGAATCTGTCCTCTAATGCAATGTTTTATTTAAAAAGAAAATGAGACAAAGCTCCAAGTAAGGATGATTAAGAAAATCTTACCCCCATCTAGGCTGCGAGACATCGTGTAGCGCTTACTTGAGGAACGTTCAAAGTAAGGGGCAGGGCGGTCAATCAGTGCGCTTGCTCTCCTGGTCTGGGCTTGTGTCCTTCCACTATAGCGGAACTTGGAACCCAGGGTGAGGAATTTTTTGGGAGGAGCTTCCGGTAGCAAGAGTCTAGAATATATCACACAGGGATAAATATTACAAACAACTGAGCTTCTGAACTGAAATAAAAGATTTGTGTTTTTAAAACTATTTTCTCCCATCCTTGAATTGAAGGGATGTGATATTTAGTATCACTTTAAGCATTATTAAAAATGCAGTGTATAGTAAAAACTATTGTCAATTACCCCTTATAAAATGGTGTCTGAAATATTTCAAGCTATAATGTGTTTGTCAGATGGACCTATTTCTTTAATGAACACAGCAATACTTGCAAAGAGAATAAGTCATTCTAATCAGTCTGTATTTTTTCCAAACACTATATAAGAAATAACATCAGACATATTCTTGGTGTAAAGGTAAAGATAATGGAGTCCCTACGGATCGTTGCTGACTATAGGGGCAGTGCTCATCTCCATTTCAAGGCCAGAATAATAATATTCTGAATGTACTGATAAGTTTTCTTTTTAAAAAAATGGACTGGCAGTCACAAACTATAAATTGCATTATCATGCCACTTGTTTAACATAGATTCCAGAGTGAATTATATCTTCTTACAGCCTAGTTATCTATACTCAAATGGTCTGCATAGATATATTTTTGGTTGATACAAACAGAAACTAACGGTCTATAAGAGATCATGAAATAATAACGAATGAGCTGAACATGTGGGATAAATACAGGAAAGGAATAAACCCAAATTTTTCTCCTCTTGCTTCACTTTTATTTCAATGAAGACAAAAACTCTAAAAAATTCACTCAGTGCAGAATTAATCATTTATGTAGCTTGCAAGATTAAATTTATGTAGTACTAAAACTCTCTTTCCTGTAGCCCTTAACTGGGTAAAAATAAGGCACCCTTTTGAACCAAAATAGCTCTAATAGGCTAACTTACAGAATGCATCCAAAATCTGTGGGAGCCAGATTAAGGAAGGGATGAACTAAGGCTTCCTTAAATGGTCCTGCAGCAATGTATTAATGACTGGCTGAACTCACTTGCAAGTCACCCTCCTCGAGGCAGAAATCTAAACAAGAAGCTACACTAACAGATCCATGATTCCATCCACGTCAACAGAGTCAAACTGCTTCTAGATAACTTGTTAAGTCCCCTCTCCCTGGGTGAGGATCCTGCTCCATGTTTGGATTCCAACTGAAAACAAATTTAAGCGATTTTATCCATCAGATGCTCGACAAATTCTTCCAATCCTGTAAATGTTCTTATGAGCCCTCCTTCCCTAGGGAGGGATTGGGTGACTTCAAACAGAGTTACTGGGCAGCACTCTGCAGATGCAATAAGAGCAGAGAAATACTTGCATTTCACTGCTCTTACCGCCATGAGATAGGCCTTAATGGTCTGTGGTCGGACAGATTTGTTCGTTTTACCCCAGTCGTTCTCTAGCCATTTCTTGGCCCTTTTTAACACCCTCAATTCCTCCATGAATCACAGAAAGTACTGGGAATGATGGGCACATAAATGATACTGTCCAGGGTCCTGGCTGCCTTCTGATTCCAGGCTGTGGTCAGAGCCTCCACAGGACCATAAAGAAGATCTTGTGGGACATCCTCCAGTTCCCTCTAGAACCTGAGTGCATGTATCAGTCACCAAGAGTGAACCATTCCAAAAGGTCTGAGCTCCATGGGGAGGAGGGCAGAATTGGAAAATCTTAAGGATAGTAAGCCCTGGTCTCACCATGACAGAGGAAATAATGATAAATCTTCCACCAGATCATATTGCCATTGCTGCAACTAGAAGATCATATCCACATGGTGTGTCTACTTTCCCAAGCCAGGCAATAGATGACCTGGGATAGGCCCGCGGCCATCAAATCCATGAATTTGTTATCATATACTTTTTACTGGAAAGCTTGTTTGATCTCTTCAATGGAAGAGTGGCTCACTAAGTTGTGACAGTATGCTTCAATGCCTAGAAAAATTTCATTTGGTTCAAACTTGAGTGTAACTTGATACATGGATTGGTACCATCTCCAACATGTGGGGTTTTCTCTCTCTATAAAATCTGTATTTTAATTTTACTGGGTATCAAAAACAGAACAGATGTTTAGTAACATGGCTTTCAACTATTCTTTTGAGAATTTACTTAAATTTTGTGATTAATAGGCATGGTGTCTTTCTATTAGATTTTTAAATTGTCAGGCATTATCAGAGGTCAAAAAAATGTCATATCTGTTTATATACCTTTGACCAATTTATTCTTATTTCATTGTGACAGACTTTGAAGAAACTCATTAAAAAGGACTTTGTACCTGAAAAATGTATGATGTTCAACACATACTTTCCATAAACGTTTTGCAGCACGGTGATTTGGTAGTTTAAATCCAATTGTACTTTCAAACTGCTCAAACTAGGAAAGAAAAAAAAATAATTACTTTTTTAATTTCTAATAAAAATATATGAATTCTTTACAATGAATTATCTTTATAGATTCATATCAATATGAATATATTACTTATAAATGGACTAGGAATTCACAGTCAAGGTTACACATTAGCACAGGTTAATTACAATAATTTGGGCCATGAATTTTATCTGGCTTTTAACCCAATGCTTTTTATATTACTGGTTCTTTTATGTTACATTCTTATTTTGAACTATTAATTATTATAAGATTTAATTTGATCTCATTTAAACAAATAGGTTTCAGGACACTGTATAGTTGTAGTAATCCATGAAATCTTATTTAATATGAGAATGTTATATGAAAATGTTACAGAAGAAGAGAGAGAACAATTAAATATAATGTCATAAAATATCATATACTGGGTTCTTAACCAATAATTACAAAAAACAGTAAGCTCTAGTTTCTTATCCAACCAGGTCTTCCTCCTGTCTCCCAAGTTCATCCCCAAATATCATTAATGTTTCGCTGGAGTTTGAACCTGAAGATTAGTTAAGTTCTGCTGCTAGTACAGTTTTATGATTAGGTGCAGTATTTACATCAGGCATCTTGGGTAACAGTTTGTAACACAATTCATTGATTTTAATATTTATAATTGCCCTACTGCCATTGTGAGATGGGCAACCACTTAAATTATACATACATACATACATACATACATCCCAAGATGATGCTGCCTCTCTAAAGGAAGCTACAGAGATTTAGCTTTCTATTATACAACAGATTTTCACCAGTGTTCTCCCTATCTTCTATTGTATCACCCCAAATAGAGTGATGGATTCCCATTGGGACAAAAAAGGATTGATTGCTACCGGTAGTATCTGTAGTTAGGATAGCAATATCGGTTGTAAGCATTGCACTACCACAATAAACAAAAATAATAACCACATTTAAATTAATAACAGACAAACCGACAATAGATAAATAAAGTATAGCATATTGGATACTGTATTACAAATCTCTGTTTTTTATCCTTGCAGAAAACAGAGAGGAGTTACAGCAGTGGTATCAAGTAAAAGGGAGAAGCTGAAAAGTCAAGTTTCAAAATATTTAAAGGCCAATGTATAAATACATTACACGGCATTAATTTCTAAAGTAAAATTCAATATATAGACATAAGAAACATGAGGAACAATTTCATTCAATTTTACTTACTTCACCTGGTCGAATTTTGATGTAGAAGTTATTCCTCTTATATGAAATTTTGAGAACCTTAGGCCAAGCAAATCTGTTTATTCTGAGTCTGTCTCGATAAATCAAGAGACCACTTGCACAGACACCTAACATGATTTCAACTCCTTCAGAATCCTGAAAAAAGATTGGATATTTATTTTAATCTAAAATCAATTCCACAGGTTATTTATCAGCTATGATATTCATTTTCACTATATTTTTTCATAATTTTAATAATGCACATAATATTATTCTTACAAGCATGGAGTGTTAGAAAAACACAATTAAAATGTTATTTATTTATTCTTGGCATTTATGTTCATCAGCTAGATAGAACAAAGTTTATTTACATCCTATGAGACCATGTAAATTAAATATCACATTTTTACCATGTAGTCAAAAACATACAGAGAATTTCCAGAGGAAACTAAGTTTCTTATGCTTAATGAACAAATCATAATTTGTTTACATACATACATATACAAATGATATGTATGAAACCCCTGTGCTAGGAAGAAAGCTAATTATTAAACATATAATAATACATAATTACAAATATTTAAATTACATAAAGTAATTGTTGAAGTAACTTGTTTCCTGCTTCCTCTCAACTGCTACTTCCTTTTGGTTATTATCTAATAAATTACTGTACATTTGGAATTGGGGGGACAGAAATTGTATATTAATATTCCTGCAAAAGAAAACAATTTTCAATATAGTTGCTATCTTTAATCATCTTTAGACTATTACACAGGCCTCAATGATCTCAATTTTGATATTCATACATTTTTAGAAAGATATAATTATATTATTCTTTGAATTTTTTTGATAGCTGTATTGACCAAGATTTTTGCTGGTTATTTATTTGCCCAAAGATGCTTATTTAACTTATATTTGTTAATGACAATTAACAAAAGGTGAAAGTTAAAGTTGTTTTTTACTCTTAATTTATGTATTTGCTTGCAAATTGCCGGAAGAGCTTTTGAAATTATGCATCTGGCTCATTTTAGAAAATATTTTATTCAGAATGATACTGGAGCATTGATACGATCCAAAACTTTTTAACTTCTTCATCAACTATAAATTGTCAAAAAAATAGCCAGTTTGATCTATTAGTTAAGACACCAGGCTAGAACCCAGGAGACTGTGAGTTCTAATCCTGTTAGGCACGAATGTTGACAGTGTAACTTTGAACCAGCTACTTTCTCAGCCCAACTCACCTCACACAGGATTGTGATTGCGAGGAAGGAGCATTAGGTATGTTTGCCGCCTTGACTTATATGTAAAAGTAATAAAGACAAAATAAAAAAATCTAAAAACATGAATACAATAATTTTACTAAAGCCTTATGCAAATAATCTTTTTTTTGGGGAGAAAGATAGTTTAAAAAATAAATATGTTAATATTAAGTAATTTAATTAAATGCATAATTTAAAGGAAGATCGATTTTTCTTAGTGCAGCTGGTTAGTGAAATCTTTTACAGCAATGCTAAGGACTACTTCAATGTAAGGGACATAATTAGCTACAAAGCTAAAACTTAATGGTTCATTCATGATCAATAAGCTGACATCAAAATTAAACTGAACCCTGTAAACAGTCATTTAATTTAATATACCACACAGTAACACTTATAGGGTAGCAGGAAAAGGACTTGGAGAAGATATTCAAATGCTGTGATTTGTATATATCTACAAAGATCAAAATCACAAATATAATAGTTTTCCTGAAATATTCTATGTCGATGAAAGTTGAATTTTGAAGAAGCAGGAGTGTGTATTGATTTAACATTGAAGACGACCATAGATAACCAAAAAACCCAAATAGATCACAGAATAAAGAGCCACGGTGGCATAGAGGTTAGAATACAATATTGCCGTCTAACTCTGCCTATTGCCAGGACTTTGATCCTGACTTATTCAAGATTGACTCAGCCTTCCATCCTTCTGAGGTTGGTAAAATGAGGACCCAAATTGTTGGGGGCAATATGCTGACTCTGTAAACTTTTTAAGAATGCTGTAAAGCACTATGAAGCGGTATATAATTTTAAGTGATATTGCTAAATCAATCATATTTTTCATTCAAGGTATGAAAGCCCAGCCTCAATAATACTGTTTTTAAGTGCAAAATACAATATAATTATTTAGGTAGTGGTTAGTATTGGTAGAAAAATAGAAAAGGGAAGAAAGTGTTATCAAAACTTGTTTTTTGTATTTTTTTACTTATATTTTATTAGTAATTATTAATGTTTTGCTTTGTTTATTGTATTATTATTCTTGTTTGAGTTCTGTTTAAATAATCTATCAAACCTCATGGAAGACTCATGAGGTCGAATTTTTAGACTGCTGAATAAAATATATACCTTGGCATGATGTAGATCTACTCCATACATAGACAGTTTTTTGGCATTTTCCAGAAAGTGCATCTCTGCTTCTGCAGGTGTCATTCCCCTAAAGTTAATCAATATGAAAAAAAACCACACACATAAAAACAAGTGAAAGTGAAATTGCTTCATGAAAGAAACTATTTTCTTCAAAATGTAGATTCTCCATGCATGCCTGTGCATATGCTAAAGTCAATGAGTTGGCACTTTTGCTAAAGCGATACAGTTTGCTATATCAAAGGGATTTGCTTTAAGTGGAGGTATTAAGGCAGAAAGTTTTGGTTTTTAAAGCTAAGGCACCTGAATGAATAGAGTCAAGACAATTTGCACAGCAAAGTAGACCAGGACTTTCCATGGGCCCATTATTTATATACATAGATTCCCATTGCATGTCTCACCTATGGCTTTTATGAAGCTCTATTACTTTATCTTCCAATTCTTTAGTATGATTTGGTGCAAAGCGGAATTCATTGACATAGTCACTCCCATATTCATCAGGATCATAATCTCCAAGCTCTGACTGAACTGTATAGGAGCCTAATAGTGCAAGTGTGACAAAAGAACATGGCAATCGTCCAGACACAATGTCATCTCGCAGCTGCAAGCAGAGATAATACCTGCAACAAATTTATATTTTAAGAAAGCATATTAGCATTTATCAATTTAAGGAGAAGCATTTTTAAATTTATACTGATTCATAAGCAAATACACAATTTATATAAAATGCATTGCTGTTTTTAATGGACATAAAAAACAGGAAAAAGAAATACTGTGTGTGTGTGTGTGTGTGTGTGTGTGTGTGTGTGTGTGTGTGTGTGTGTGTATAAAGCACTTCACACTCCATAGATACATACACACAAACTGGAAACTAAAATAATTGCCTGTATCCAAAAATATGAACAATTGCTGAAATGCTGTTTGCAGCAACAGCTTTATTTGTTATACAAGGTACAGCAAGATCTTAGTAAGTGGCAATTTCTATTTTTTTTAGTTATTATTAACTAAATGAATAATTGCTCGCAAATAATTTCATCTATTAAGGTCAACAATAATCTATTCTGAATTATTCAACTGAATCTTGAGAATTTTTGCAAGAAAGAGTTCTCCATTAGAAAAGCCAACATAATGAAAGAAAGATAGATCAGTTTCTAGCGCCAGGCTAGAAACAAGGAGAATGTAGTTTCTAGCCCTGCTTACGCATGAAACCCAGCCCAGTTAAGGACAGACTATTAGATATGTTCATTGCCTTGAGTTATTTATAAAAATAATAAAGGTGGGGGTATAAATAAATAAAATAATGAAACTTACCATAAGCTCTTTAACATATCTTCCAGTAATTCCCCATGTAAAAGTTTAAAAACAAACAAGTTGGGTTTCCACATACACTACACTTGGAAGCACTCATTGCCAAGAAATCTGGGAATTGTATTTTTTAAAATACAGTGGGGGAAAAAAGTATTTAGTCAGCCACCAATTGTGCAAGTTCTCCCACTTAAAAAGATGAGAGAGGCCTGTAATTGTCATCATAGGTAGACCTCAACTATGAGAGACAAAATGAGAAAACAAATCCAGACAATCACATTGTTTGATTTGGAAAGAATTTATTTGCAAATTATGGTGGAAAATAAGTATGTAGTCACCTACAAACAAGCAAGATTTCTGGCTCACACAGACCTGTAACTTCTTCTTTAAGAGGCTCCTCCACTCATTACCTGTATTAATGAACTTGTTATCAGTATAAAAGACACCTGTCCACAACCTCAAACAGTCACACTCCAAACTCCACTATGGTGAAGACCAAAGAGCTGTCGAAGGACACCAGAAACAAAATTGTAGACCTGCACCAGGCTGGGAAGACTGAATCTGCAATAGGCAAGTAGCTTGGTGTGAAGAAATCAACTGTGGGAGCAATAATTAGAAAATGGAAGACATACAAGACCACTGATAATCTCCCTCAATCTGGGGCTCCACGCAACATCTCACCCGGTGGGGTCAACATGATCACAAGAACGGTGAGCAAAAATCCCAGAACCACACAGGGGACTAGTGAATGACCTGCAGAGAACTGGGACCAACATAACAAAGGCAACCATCAGTAACACACTACACCGCCAGGGACTCAGATCCTGCAGTGCCAGACGTGTCCCCCTGCTTAAGCCAGTACATGTCCGGGCCCATCTGAAGTTTGCTAGAGAGCATTTGGATGATCCAGAAGAGGATTGGGAAAATGTCCTATGGTCAGATGAAACCAAAGTAGAACTGTTTGGTAGAAACACAACTCATCGTGTTTGGAGGAGAGAGAATGCTGAGTTGCATCCATACCTACTGTGAAGCATGGGGGTGGCAACATCATGCTTTGGGGCTGTTTTTCTGCAAAGGGACCAGGACGACTGATCCGTGTACAGGAAAGAATGAATGGGGCCATGTATCGTGAGATTTTGAGCGCAAACCTCTTTCCATCAGCAAGGGCATTGAAGATGAAACGTGGCTGGGTCTTGCAGCATGACAATGATCACAAACACACCGCCCGGGCAATGAAGGAATGGCTTCGTAAGAAGCATTTCAACGTCCTGGAGTGGCCTAGCCAGTCTCCAGATCTCAAGCCCATAGAAAACCTTTGGAGGGAGTTGAAAGTCCATGTTGCCCGGTGACAGCCCCAAAACATCACTGCTCTAGAGGAGATCTGCATGGAGGAATGGGCCAACATACCAGCAACAGTGTGTGCCAACCTTGTGAAGACTTACAGAAAACGTTTGACCTCTATCATTGCCAACAAAGGTTATATAACAAAGTATTGAGATGAACTTTTGATATTGACCACATATTTATTTTCCACCATAATTTGAAAATAAATTCTTTCCAAATCAGACAATGTGATTGTCTGGATTTGTTTTCTCATTTTGTGTCTCATAGTTGAGGTCTACCTATGATGACAATTATAGGCCTCTCTCATCTTTTTAAGTGGGAGATCTTGCACAATTGGTGGCTGACTAAATACTTTTTTGCCCCACTGTACATATGGGATTAGGAGGAATAGAAATCTACACTTCAAAAATTTTGTAGGGTATTCAATGCCTCAAAAACTGAGCTGTGCGATTCCTGAACTCTGCAATAAGAATAAATGTGAGTGACTCTAAGATAAGCCCCTAGAAGTTAGACTGAATTTCAACTTCAACCAGGAGTGAATAGAGGAAGTAACAACATCTCAGTAAGTATGACAGCTTTCCCGTTACTTATTATCAGCTCAATAACAGAATAACAAGAGTTGTAAGGGACCATCAAGGTTTTCTATTTCAACCTGGTAGGAAACCCTAGAACTTCAATGATTGAAATCAGCTGATCTTGTAGCAACAATTTGTTAGTTAAGCAGATTATATTCATAAAGATTTTTTTTTTAGAAATAATTTCTGTTCAATGATAATGTATACCTTGTAATATCTTCAGAAAGTTGGGCAGGATCTGGAGGGTAGAATTTAACATTGAACGAGAAATACCAAGCACCACCTAAAATAAAACAAAGTACTGTTGGGGTTCTCTGTCTTCTGCACTCATTATAATTATTTACTGAGGTAGATATTGTTGTTACTTTCAAAACTGATGCTTCCTTTAAAATTCTTAAAGCCATTTTTTTCTGAGACCTTTATTCAGCAACCATTCAATTATCTGAGGTTTCCATAAAACACTATAGGCAAGGATGTTAGGTAATAGTTAAATAATAAAATAAATATGGAAATAACCACATGGATAAGTAGGTGTGGTCTTGAAAGGGTAGTTTGAATGGCAACACACATTGCCATTTTGTTTTTTAAAGGCTGTTGTATGGATTTTATTCTGAAAGTATTGCTCTGACAGCATCAATCAATAGATCTTTTAATCCCATTTTAATATTTTCCCTGTTTGCTGCACTCTATTTTAACTGTACATGCAATGATGGATATAGATGTTGAAAGTAAGTCAGGTTCTATTATTAAAACCATGGGTCATCGGTTCCTTTAGCTATATACAAATTCAGCCAACCAGCCTCCTTGGCCTTTGAATGGTTGCTAAACAGGGTAATTGTTAACTGAGGACTACTGTATAAACTTCCAGAATTGGGATATGGTTCTTAAAAACCTAATATAATAAGCTCTTTAGAACCTAATATAGTACAGAACATTTTGCTATATTACATGTAGTTCTTTTCTCAGCTACCACCATCATATATGAATAATACAGTACTAATCTTGAATAGTATGGATTTAGGCTAATAATAATATCATATTAAATGTATTGAAATATTTTATACAAAGATTTTAAAATATTCCTAGTTATCGGCTTGGTTATTTATGGGACCTATTGCGTCCATAGTATCTGCCCAACCAATTTGATCCTGTGAAGTTTGTGCAGTCCAGCTCCTTCAATTAAATACCATCATATACTGGGACACTGGAAAGAAGTCTTCTCTGTAGCAGTGCTGCCTTCTGGATCCAAAATAGTTTTCATTCTGCTATTATTTCAAAGAGCCATGGCAACTTGGCTTTTCTCTCCGGACTTTTGCAAAAGGAAATGAGACCCCCTCCTTTTCACTGCCCTTATCATCTTTTATCTTTAACATTTTATTGATTTATTCTAATTTCTTTGTTGTGAGCCATCTAGAGTTGTTGAGAGTTACAAGTTAAATATATCATTATCATCACCATCACCACTGAATGATTATTAAATGATGCCTCCCTCTTTAAAAATATAGAATCTACCTCTGATAAATGACTGATAAAAACTTACTTCGTATCTGCTTTTTAATTTCTTTAGCTGGATCCAACCAATTCTGGGAAAAAACATTTTAAATATTTAAATTAGATGTGCAAACACTTTGATAAATCATGTTAAATTACAAGTGAAATATTAAAATTGAACTAATATGAAACACTTTAAGAACCAAGTAATACCAGTATATTTCAACTGAATGACACTTAATTGTGTTTAATTACTTTGGTCAAACCACTTTAGATTTTAGCAAATCTAAGAACATGTACCCAATTCATCCTAAGACCTAAGCAAATTCCAGTTTTCTTAATTTCAGCTTGTATCTATAATCGAGATATAATGATTAATCTTACAAAATAATTTCATCATATACTTTATTATTATAACTAGTACAAACAAGGTTTAAGGGTATATACCAAAAATAAAAGTGCATTGTAACATCTTAAGATAGCAGAAGAGAAGAAAAGAAATTGGAGAAAATAACAAAATATAAATAGCGGAAATATAAGTAGGATGACTATCAAAGATTTTTTTTTTACAAAATAGTAACAGGTGCTTTGAGTGCAATTCCAAAACATCTGGAACACTACTTGAACACCAATGGCATTGACAAAATCACTATCAATCAATTGCAAAAGGCAGCTTTATTTGTAACAGTTTACTTCCTATGACAATCAGACAATGATTGTCTGCATATCCCAGGTCCTTGGAAAAGATTTGACATATGGATAAACATGTCAAATCTACAGTCAACCTAGTTTGGACTTTCTGGGCTTAACCAGTAACATAAAAGCAGTTGCATTTTCAATCAAATATTGCTTGCAAGAGGCAATGATAATCTGTAAATATATTTCAGGTATTTTTCATTCTTAAGCTCTCTCATAAATATTTCAACAATAAATGTTAAGACTGTCAAAGAATTGTTGAAATGATGGGGGGATCTTGAAGGAAAAAAAGTAAAAAAAGATCAATGAGATATGTATTAATGAGTAACTGTAAGGCTACACTTTTTAAAAATGTAATCCATCTTCAAGAACATGCAACACTATATGTGTGTTCTTAAATCTCAAAATCAAAATGAGATGTAATAATTCTTTTGAATATTTCAGTGTGCATTACCTATCAGGAGTTCAGCTATAATTACGATTAAACAAAGCACTGGTCTCATTCTATAGTTGCTTATTCTTGGATTAAATATATTTTCCCCATGTTATGTCATGATTTTCTGTAATAAATGGTTAATTTTACCTTCTGATTTTCCATATCTCTGTAAGTGAGTCCAAAATAATCTTTTTCCAAGAGGTTCAAGTGCTCACATACTTTGTCAAAAAGAATCTGGCCCTTTGAGCGCTTCTACAGTCAGGGGAGAAAAGAAAATCAGAATGAGTTTCAAGCTATCTTCTCCGTGAATATCCTAATTTTTTTAAAAATAACACTGTATAGAATGTAGAACTCATCAAGCAAAATTAAGCTTAATATATATATTATTTATTCCAGGGATCAAACTTATTTCTTATTTGGTGAGAAGTATATTTATAATGTAAATCATTTATTCTAGTTATCCTAAATCAAGATACCGATACGCTGCAACGTTATGAAAATATTATCTTTTCACTTCATTTCTGAAAATGCAATTCAAGTAACATTATGAGTTTATGCCTTAACACTAAAGTTAGTTTCCAAGTTAATGTTATATGAAATCAAGCTGTTTTAATAGCAATCTATATTCTCCTTAGAGAAATGCAATTATGTCCTATACTGCTATATTAATTTTCCCAATTGCCTGAATCCTCCCACATTTGCTCTGATCTTTCTAAGAATCTCATTCAGTAAGTAGAAATTCAAATTATTTTCAGCTTACAGTAAGCATGAAAATACAATATAATAATTAAACAAGAATATGTTTATATAGTTTCCACAGTGAATTTTACACTCTTAATTTATGTGACTTTGAATAACATCTATTAACTAAATATTCTGTTACTTGAAGAGAAACAGCTATCATAACTCCTTTTTACAATATATTGGGAAATAACACAGAAAGATGGTGTAGCTGTTGTTAAGAGCTCCCTCTAAAGCAGGGGTGTCAAACTGCCAGCCCACAGACCAGACATGTCATCTGGAAACCACGCCCACCCCATTGCCAGCAATGGCAAAACCGTCTCGATAAGTTGCGCAACATCACATGACGTCGCGAGTTTGATATGTCTGCTCTAAAGCCTTAATTTTTAGCTAGCTCTTCTGCTCCTACTTCATCCCATTTTACTTTCATCTCTTTTACTTTTCTTCTGCTGGAGATCTGCATTTTTTTTATTTTTACTGTAGACTGATATTTTTATCATGTCCGTCATTTATCCAGCTGCTACAAAGCACAACAACAGCAACAACTACAATAATAATAATAGAGTTGGAAGGGACCTTGGAGGTCTTCTAGTCCAACCCCCTGCTCAGGCAGGAAACCCTATACCAGGGGTTCTCAACCTTGGCAACTTTAAGACTTGTGAACTTCAATTCCCAGAATTCCTCAGCCAGCTTTGCTGGCTGAGGAATTCTGGGAGTTGAAATCCACAAGTCTTAAAGTTGCCAAGGTTGAGAACCCCTGCCCTATACCATTTCAGACAAATGGTTGTCCAGTTTCTTCTTAAAAACTTCCAGTATTGGAGCATTCAACGCTTCTGGAGGTTGTTCCAACCTGCTTGCTTATCCAACAAAGGGATGAGGACTTAAAAAACAAAAACAGCAATAGCATAGCAATACCATAGCACTTTACAGCTTTCTCTGGGTGGTTTACAATGTAGAAGCAATATTGCCCCCAACAGTCTGGGTGCTCATTTTATTGATCTTGAGTCAACCTTGAGCCCCAACAGGATCGAACTCCAGTCTATGGGCAGAGTCAGCCTGCAATACTGTACTTTAATCACTGTACCATCAGTATTACTGACTTCACAACCAGAAAATGCCTACTGACGGCACAAACAGAATTATCTAGCTTCTAACCACAGTTAACAATGAATTGGACACTCGAATAAAAGAGACTTTTATTAAGCTTAAACATAGGCACCCACATACTGCTGCTAAGTCAGTTTAAACAAGCTTATGCAGAGATAATTGTGATTCAAAACCACGGTAATAGTGGTAAAAAGGTAGATTCTAATTTGGAACCTTAAAAAAAATAAGTAAAGAGATCTAAGCCTATATCCAAAGCAAGTTTTACCTTCCCAGGAAGCATTGGATAAAACAAGTAAATAATTACTGCTAATTACAGCCAATCCAGATTATTTTATTTATTTATTTGACTTGAATGTTTCCCATCTTGCCTAGAGGCGACTTTGGGTGGCTTACAAACATTAAAAGCCGGTAAAACATTAAAACAATAAATCATAATAATATACAATTAAAAGATGGGGAGGAAGGGAGCAAGATGCACCTTGGGAGAAGCAGGTTGTTTTAATCCGTTAGCCACCTCCACAGTGATGCACCCCATTAGGGTTCCAGGCCAACTGAAATAGCCCTTCATGCCCTTATGGAAGGTCCAAAGGGTGAGTGAGGATCTCACCTCAGGGGTTACATTTTCCAAAAGACAGGCGCCATGGCAGAAAAAGCTCTTCACCTAGACCCTGCCAGCCAAATTCCTCGACTGACAAGGTCCGTAGCATGTCCCTTCTGCTGGTGTGGGTGAAGGAGGCCGATCCCATGGGGTGAGACGGATCCTCAGATTGCCTGGACCCATACTATGGAAGGGCTTTAAAGGAGATAAACTACACCTTGAATTGTAGCTGGAATCAGCAGCCAGTGCAATTCACAGATTATCGGCGTAACATGGGCCATTTTAGGGGTCCCAAGAATTGCCTGTCCTGCCACATTTTACATCATTTGCAGTTCCAAATACTCTTCAAGGATAGTCCCATGTAAATTGCATTGCAATAGTTCAAATGTGAGCTGACATTAACTGTAAAATACTATTATAATTTAAAGAACTCTTAATGGACTAACAGGCTCCATTCTCTATAGCAGGGATCCTCAACCCCCAGTCCCTGGACTGGCACCGGTCTGTGGCATGCCAGAAACCAGGCCACATAAACAAGTGAAGCCCCATGCGTGAGATGCAGGCAACATATGAAACCATGCATCCTCCAAGCTGTGGAAAAACTTTTCTCCACAGAACCGGTCCCTGAATCCCCCCCAGGCAAGTCTTGAAAATGACTTAACCCCCCCTAAAGTCACTGCCTTAATCATTTTACTCTACCCAGAACCCATACTTCAGAATATTTCAGACCTTTTTTTCTGTCTTTTTTTGGAACCTCTGTCCATTTTAATAAGGGTTTAATTGAGCAAGGGAAGTCCTTTATTCACCAATAGCAGTGTTGTTCCAAGATTCCTGGAAGTTATAATATAATTTACCTTTCCTTATTTTCTTGGACAAATTGCACCTTTGGGTTGGATTCCGGGTGGCAAGGAAATGCAAAGAGCTGATGCCAATCAAAATGTGATTGGGGCACATTTTTTTTAATAAATTTTTATTAAATAACAAAAAAAGAAAAAGTTTAAAAACATTGAACGTGGTAAATCAGGCTTGACCAACATCTCAGTTCATTCCTATTCATAATTAATTAAACTCTATACAAAAACATCACTCTAAACTCAATCTTAACTTATCTCACCACAGTGACCTCCAAATTTTTTCCCTCACCATTTATAAAATTTATTCCATATTTGGTAAAAATCCATAACATCCTGATTTTTGAGTCTTTTAGTTAACCTATCTAATTCTGCGCAATGCATAATTTTATAAATTAAAATTTCCTCACTAGGTACAGCTGTATTTTTCCAATTCTGAGCGAACACTATTCTTGCCGCTGTAACCACATGAATAAATACATATCCTCTTTACTAACATTTTCTTCAACAATTCCTAACAAAAATGTCTCAGGCTTATATTGAATATTTTGTATGCTCATTTCTGTTACCTATTTCCAAACCATACGCCAATACTCTGTGTTTCCTTACATGACCACCACACATGAAAAAAAGTGTCCCTTTCTTTTTTACATTTCCAACATAAGGCTGAGTATCCTTTATACATTTTGGCTAGTCTTGCTGGAGGGAGATGCCATCTATAAATCATTTTATACGAATTTTCTTTATAGGATGACGCCAATGTAATTTTATTGTTTCGCATCCATATCTGTTGCCATTGATCCAAATTAATATTATGTCCTAAATCCATCGCCCATGTCACCATTGTTTCTTTAACTTGTTCTTCAAATAACCTATGTTCCAATAAATGTTTATAAATATTCTTTATTTGTTTTTTCTTCGGACCAAGCAAAATTTTATCTAGTCCCGTATCTTGTCTATAAATACCCCAATCATGTTTATCTTTCGAATATCTTGCTTGGATCTGGAGATAAGACCCCCCACTCTTTCTCTATTCCTTGTTGTCTTAACTCTTGTCTAGATTTTAAAAGACCCTCTTCCGTCAAAATATCTTTGTATCTAATAACCTTATCTTTCCTAAGCAAGTTGGGGTGTATAACTGCTTCCGATGGAGAAAACCAAATCAGGATCTTTGTATAGTATTGTGATTTAACTGTATTCCAACTTTTAATTAACCCTTGCCGCACTTTGTGCTTTAAAAAATATTGACAGTTTCTGCTTTGCTCCTTCCACATATGAGCATGCCATCCCTGTTGAAGATCAAAACCCTCTAGCTGTATACATCTATGATTCTCTAAAGTTATCCAATCGCTAGTCCAAGATAAGGCCGCAGCTAGGTAATATAATTACCTATACAAATAGTTTCTAAATTTAAATATTTACGTATACAAATAGTTTCTAAATTTAAATATTTAGGGATAGTTATTTCTGTACATTGCTCTTCGATCAAAGAAGATAATTATATTAAATTAATACAAAAAATTAAAGTTGATTTAGAGCGTTGGAGAAATTTACATCTTTCATTACTGGGGAGAATTGCTGCTATAAAAATGAATATTCTACCTAAATTGATATTTCTGTTCCAGAATATTCCAATTTATTTGGATAAGAAATTTTTTAAAGAGTTAAATAAAATAAGTTTAGAATTTGTATGGTCTGGTCAGAAGCCTAGAATAAAACTGAAGGCACTACAAGAACGCTAAGGAAAGGGGAGGTCTAGGCTTCCCTAACTGATTGAGGCACATTTTGATAGGCATCAGACAGTATCAGGTCTACTTAGTGCAAAATGGACATTCCCTCCTGGCTGGGCTCGAAAAAACTGTCAGCTGGAAAAGCCAGCAATTCGCTGGGCACAGATGCAGCAAACCTATCTTTAGGAATAGAGTCTCACACCCAGAAACCTGTGGAGCATGGCC